TGTATCGAATGATTCGGAGGCATACTGAAGTTAGGTGCGGGTAGCGTGACCAATCAGCTAACGTCGAAGTCATACCTCATGGTTAGTACCCGACATGGATTACCCTTTCATCATATCCAGGTACTATGGCCGCTTTAATGATCGTACAAGACGGGTGGCGTAATTACAGAAATATATTAGTTATAGTGGGTACAAGGGAGCGAGTGCGACCACAGCTGCACATGCCAGTCCGTGCTCATACTTAATTGATGCGCGTTGGCTATAGTTGACAATGACGAAGATCGGTGGACTTAGATATTCAATGACTTGACTCCAGGGTGACATGGCTAGGGCTAAGTGACATTTCATTGGCCCTGAGCAACAATGACAATCGTACAAATTCTGGGAAATAATGGTAGAAGTGCGAATAACAACTAAGTTGCAAAATAAATCTATGCTAACTATCCTATAGAGTCAAAAACACACTAGTCATTCGTTTCTAAACTGATCTCGGCCAATATTGTCCCTCAATTCATTACCCATTTGCCAGTACTTCAACACTATATGAAATCGAAGGATTCTAAACATCTATAAAAATATTTTGAATGAGACTTTTTCTTGATCATCATTGATATAAATAGTCCCATACACATATTTTCTTACCTTTAAGACTTCAAAGTGTCAAGTAGTCCATCTGAGACATGTTGCAGATTACAGCGACAACTTAGCTAACTCCCGAACAGAGGTATCTCAGGTTGAAAAGGACCTAGGAGTGTCGGAACCCTGCGACAGAAGTGCCGTTTGATTGAACTTTCCACATAATGTTCAACGGTTGTATTCGTCCCCATTTAGAGTACAGAACATGGTATTTTCTCCCTCACTCTGGAACGTATCCAACGGTGAGCCACGAAATTAGTTCGTGGACTCGAACTTAAGTCTTATGAAGAGAGCCTCCAATCACAATGGTGTGTTCTGATTTTGTAGCAGGGAATTGGTTGTTTGTCAATAGCTCGTTTTGTTAATAACAGGGACTTGAGGGGGATTCATCAAATGAGCTGATGAAGTTGCTATTAGAGGTGAGCTAGGAGGGAGGGGTTGGAATACTGTGTAACTGAGGCTGATGGGCTATCTATATCAATAAGTTTATTAGGAGAGTTCATAATGTCAAGAACAAAAATGGTGTGTCTTGCCAAATAATAATAAAAAAATATGTAGATGTATATATAGTAGATGTCTATATAAAAAAATATCGAGGCTCACCAAATAATTGTGGTGACCAGACAGATATGAACGCTAAAATTCTAAACAATATTACTAAAGGTCAATACTAATATTAATATATACAGTTAATTGTTAGAAATACAATAAAAATTTGGGACGTTACTTAAATTGACCAAACGTTGCGTGTTCTGATTGGGTCGGTAATGTAAATCCACAATTATAAATGCTTGGTGATTCTGAGCAGGTTGGCGAATTCTCCAGTGATATAATCCAACATAGAATGTGATATATTCCAATTGCAGTCTATAAATAATGATGGTATATGATTTAGACTTCAGTTAACTCAATCACAAACGAAGATAGAACGAGGAATGTGAGAGTAGTAGTGTATTTGTTAGCCAGCAAGAGTATGTCACGCTATGTCAGAATCACAACGGAAAGTGTGTTCAAGGTCATTTACTAAAACAACAGTTTCGGTCATTTAATGTTAAATATACATACAGTGGAAGGTTGACGAAATGAATACAAATAACATTGAAAACTATTTACAAAATAAGCATGTCAGGCCTATCTCCACACTAGTACCTTGGTTTATAGCTATCGTTATAACCACCTTTATGCTCGAGGGCCATTTTGATCCGGTGGTTTGGTACTGTAGGATGCGAGAATTCTTCGTCCTGATGTTGATTGCTATTCTGATTCTGGGGATCAGAAATTTGATGTGAAGTGGGTATTATTTCGTTACCATACATATTAATAGTTCTAGGATTTCAACTCAGCATGCTCTGTTCTCCCAGTTTTAAATTGGTCAAATACTGTGATGAATTTTTCAATATCAGCAGGTGACTTCGGAATGATCCATAACATTTTGAACTGTTCCGTCAAACACACCAATTAAGCGAACAACATTATCTTGAACTAATTCTCAACTAACCGAACGAAATAAGATCATATATAATTGAATTTTTCAAACATAGAGAACAATTTTATTATCAATCATCAAAACAACGACAAATTAGGAAGTTTAAAAAACTATTGAAACATTCATCAAACACCAAAGTTCAACAGACGGAAAATAGATCTAACACAAATGATATGAATAAAATAATTGTTAATCTATCGGATAGACCTCTCAACCCACATGAAATATCATTACTCAAAAAGGGTCTCAACTTCAATATAAATAGACATAAATTAACACCTTTCAATGTTATACCAACAGTAGAACCAGCACTGAATATACTCCCGAATGATACAGCGAATGAACTGAGGAATAAAATAATGAACACATTATTACATCAGAAACCTCACAACCCTAACATAAATAAAAATGAATATTACGCATTAAAACAGCTGAGAGAGGACAAAACGATCATAATAACGAGAACAGATAGAGGTAATACTACAGTTATTATGAATAAAACAGAGTATGAGAACAAAGCCAAAGAACATCTACAAGAGGGTCCATATGAACAAATCAAAGAAGCGAAAAGTAGAACAACTCTTAATAAACTCAAGGCGCAAACTAGCAAACTCTTACAGTCATTAAAAGCTAAGCTAGGATCGTCCTTATGGTTTATGTTATATCCAAAGAGTTGTAATCCATGCAGATTTTATGGGCTACCAAAGATCCACAAGAATAATACTCCACTAAGACGAGTGGTAGACTATACAAATTCATCGACTTACAATCTAGCTAAATATTTAGCTAAGATTCTCAAACCATATGAAAAATGAATTAATCGTGGAATTAAAAACTCTATGGAATTCAAGAATTTAATTGATACCATCGATATAGAAGAGGACGAAATAATGGCAAGTTTTGATGTATCTTCCTTATTCACTAATGTACCTATCAGTCGAGCTATGGATATTATCAATGATTATTTAGAATCTGATTTAGATTTGAATTTACGATGCCCATTAGATCCATCAGAGATTATAAAATGCTTAGAATTATGTTTAAGATCTACCTTATTCATATTTCGAGGTCAACTTTACAGACAGAAAGAGGGTATAGCAATGGGCTCACCAGTTTCTCCGATTGTAGCGAATTTATTCATGCATTCCCTAGAAACTAGTGCAATCGCAAAGAGTTTATGTCCACCAAAGTTATGGTTAAGGTATATAGACGACATTTTTATTATCAATAAACGGAATGGTATGGAAGAACTATTTAACAATGCAAACAGCATTTCTGAAAACATTAAACTAAGGAATTAGAATCAGTTGACCACAAACTAGCATTTCTAAATTGTCTGGTTGAACGTCGACACAATAATAAGAAGTTAAAAATAAATGTTTACAGAAAATAAACGCATTCCGAGAGATACTTAGATTTTAATTCAGCCCATTCACAGAGCACGAAAATTAATGTGGTAAAAGATCTAATGAACAGAAGTACTAAGATTGTTACAGACAAGGAAGACCAACGAACCGAATTAAGTAAAGTATTTTCTACTCTTAGGGATAACAACTACCCAAAAAGGTTTTTAAAAAAGATTATTAAAAATGAAAGAAAAACTAAACTAGAAAGTATACGAAAAGAATGGAAGTACACCGTAGTCATACCTTACCGGAGTGAAACATCAGAAGAAATCAAACGGATTCTAAACAAACATGATATAAGAGTGTATTTTAGAGCAAATAACACATTAAGATCGACATTGGTGAAAGTTAAGGACAAGTTAGCAAAGGAAGAACAACGGAACATTGTGTATGAGATTCACTGTCATGACTGTAATGCTACCTATGTTGGAGAAACATCCAGGCAATTAAATGTAAGATTGAAGGAACACAAACAATGCTTGAAAAATGTTCCAAAATCCTCGGTAGATTTAAAGAAACTTGAAAATAAGTCAGCGATAGCGTTACATTCGTTAGAAACAGGACACAAGATTAATTTTGAAGGGACCAAAATACTTCAGAAAGGTTTTAACACCCATAAAGAAAGATTGACAGCAGAAGCTCTGCATATATGGGCGAACAAGAACAGCCTGAACCGAAAAGATGGTATTCAAATGGCAACTACCTGGCAAATTTCGTTTGACAAGTAAATTTGGAACCTATCTCTTGTTTAAACCTGTTTTTAATATCACATGCATCATTATTATTATTGAAAGAACTGAATGAGTTTTTAAACAATACAATTTATGTTTTGACATGCACATCGATCTTTCATTATCAAGTTTTTCATCCTTGAACTTGAACTTTATTTATTCCTTCATATCAATCTCTCACACATACATACATACATACACACACACATACGATTTGTTACTCAGTTAAGTATTTCCATGTAGTTGAATTCGTCACATGATTTGTAGTCAACTGACTCAGTTTATCCTATTTTACAAAAATTCAACACCCAAATATGATTGGTTTAACACAGTATAATCCTGATTGTTAAAAGCTATATATTTCTTTGATAATTTTGATTTTGATTATTACCCTGAAGAAGTCCAGACAAGTTAGCTGGACGAAACGTTGGAATTAGTTAAATTTCAATCGCTGAAAATATTTCAAACATAATTTTCACATATAATGACTTCTCTATACTCGGCGCTCAATTACTGTCAAACTATTCGTTCTAATCTTGACGAATATTCGTATAAATATATCAGGAAATATGTTATTAGCCTTGTTCTTCATTATGATACTAATTTTCAATCATATTTTTAATAAAGTTGTGTTGATAGATAGCCTTGCATATATCTCCAGTGTATTGTAACATAGGACTACAGCTTGGCACGTTGTACAAGTAGTAGGGTCGTGCGTAGTTCAAAAATAACCAAACAAGGATGGTAGAGGGCTCCAGCTTGTCTGTTGAGTCTGTGTTATCTGCCATTGATGCGTTGTATATGAATCCAGATACATCTATCAAAGAGCAAGCTTCAAAATGGCTGTGTGAATTTCAAAAATCAGTAACTTTTCTTACCTACATGACCTTTTAGGTTTATGCTTGGCAAATATCTGATCAGTTGCTTTACATGAATAGAGATTTAAATTCTTGTTACTTTGGAGCTCAAACCATACGCAAAAAGGTATGTTTTATGTAGGAGCCAGTAATGCTTTAAGATTCAATGTCACTTTACTGAACTCCCAGTGGAGTCGCACGAAGTACGTTTCCATTATCTATCCAGCTTAGTTCCAGGGACTAAAAAACTCTCTCCTGCAACATGTCCAAGAACTTAGAGAAAACACTAGCCTACCGATAGCAAATCAATTGTGCTTAGCCGTCGCAGATTTGTTTTGCCATATGGTTCAGTGGAAAAATGGTATCAAAGATATTGTTTCGAAGTAATTGCAGAGTATTTTTGTTAAAATATTTCCACAGATTTTCAGAAACAGACGTCTCCTGTAGCTACTTAATTGACATTCTGAAATTTATTCCTGAAGAGGTAGGGAGCGTGTTATTTTAATGCACTTGTAGATGAACAGCAGCACTCTTCGACTAGGAATGAATCGTCGACACGCTCTTATGAGTCAGTTTGAAGGGAGCAAACAGTTTGTGTTGGAGTTTCTGGTAAGCATTTGACAACCTCAGGTTAAATTGTGCATCACTTCACTACAAATCAGTTGTTGATGCCGTATACATCTTTTTTCAACGTATGTCCTTGTGAAGACAGGTTTTGCAACACGATATTTTGTAACTTTACTATAAGTGTAGATCACATGTATTCTTTACCGTCAGCAAATGAATTACGATCTTTTGTTAACTACCCTTACATTTTTAAATACTGAGTCATCTTGATATTAATTTTAGAAGGATAGCTGTCCTCTCATTCATCGTCAAATTGAAGTGGTCGTAGTTCCCACTCTAAATTTGCGCTATAACTTATTTCTTTGCTATTTTGTGTACCACTCCATCAGAATTACAACACATACTCTTAAAACCTTTGTTGCTTCCGTATGTTTTTGGAACGTAATTTACTTTATATCCTATTTACATATTTCTTGTCATAAATTGTACTGTTTATCTGTTTCAACCATTTCCACTTTTTACATACACCCATAGTTGATATATGCTTAAGATACATCTTGAAATATGACGTATCAGAGTAGGACATAAAAATGAGCTATCTTCATTGCTACATATTATCACTGTAGTTGATAAAAAATAGCAGGCATGTATTACAGAAGAAAAAAATGCACCACACAAATGAATTGTTTTGTTGTACAATGTCCCAACTAATATAGATTTCTGGAGCTAGTCCATCTGAACATGCTACTCCCCTCGCCTTAGATTGTCTATGGCCTTTTCAACCCCACTTACGTCAATTAGCCATTCATGTATATTGAGGGTAGTGGGTGAGTAAAGTATGGCTGACGGTCAGTTAAGGTGTTCAGATATTCAATACATAATAAGATTTCCGGCTACTAAAAGCCTGGTTTTTTCAGTGGTTTATCTTTTGTATTCCATGGTAATCATTTACCACACTAATTCTTTTAAGTACTTTTCTCAACAACGACGAACTCCAACTTTCTTTAAAAGCATAAGGTCTTTACTATGCCAACCGGATTTCCCATACAGATTATTGGGTAGAAACGTTTTATGGTTTAAAGACTATCCATTCTGTCTTTTACCCGTAATATATTTACTCTTTTGTAACCGCTTTCGGAAGTAAAGTAAAAGTTATCATAGTCACATCATATTACAAATCTGATCTAGTTGTTGTTAAACTTTAGAATCAAATTCATATTTGTAGTTTGAAATATGTATTTATTTTTAAACCATTATATTAAGTAGTTAGCCACAGAGTTTTGCACCCAAAATGATAGCACGAAATAAGAATAATTAATTAATTTCACAAGCATTGTTTGTTCTTGTTTAAAACAAAGGAAAAAATTCCAAAATTCGGTCTCATTTTGTCTTTTCGTAATTGATGGTATCATTACTAGATAGAAGTTCCTTTGCGTGAACCAATAATTTTATGCAAAATCCTGTTCGTAAGCCTTGAAATGATGGTTCTGGCTAAGGTAGACGGTATTAGTGCTTGTGTTATCAATACTGAGGTCTTCTATTTGTTTTTAGTCTCACAGAGCAAAATCAGAACAAATGGTTATCTTAGCTAAAGTATATAATTGTCTTGCAAGTTGGTGGGATAATACTGGAGTCATGGTTGAACACGATGTACCGATTGACCCTCTCTTAAACACTGCATTTGCTATCCTTCGGAATCCTTCCACTACTCCTGAATCAACTTTCGATGCAGCATCTCAGTGGGTGCTAGCACTTTTATACCAGTGTAAGGTAAGCCAATTTATTTTAGCTGTATTACTGTTAATTACATGTCTGTAGATTAACCTTGTACTAGAAAAACTGTAACTTCTGTATGGCATATTCAACATTTTTCGCTTAAATACTTATCTCCGCTTTTTATGTGCGCCTTTTGAATGTCCCATCTTACTGTTAAATGTTTCGGAACAGTTCTTTAGTCGTTAGAAGCATGTACGGATCAAAGTAAATCCTTACTTGTTATGAAACTTCATGACAAACCGCTTGTCTCCTTCAAACTGACCTAAAATAGTGTCGACGAGGACTCGTATTCATCTACAAATACATTCCAGTAACATTCCCTAATTCCTGGAAAATAAATTCCAAAGTACTGATCAACTTACTTCAAGAAAAACCTGTCTGTCAAGTCACGATAGGTTGGTTCGTCGATTTATGAAGCCTCCATGGTTTTATATTCTCTTAGCTTATCCTAATTCTTAAGTGTCATGTAACATTGAATCAAGTAGTTAGCCTTTTGTTGTTGCTGACTGACTGACCTTTCGATTTTGGTCTCTGCTGAATATACTGATTATATATGCAGGTGAGAATTTTTTATATAGTAGATTGAATGCGCCTAGCAGTGAAATCCGGGGTTGGGATACTACATTTCTCTTCAAATATCAACGCTGGCTCATCCAGTTAGTGATTTTTGAACAACACGAAACTCGCGTCCTTGATTTTATTGCTAGTCACATTCCGTCTATTTTATGTAGACTTATGTCATAATGGATATATCGCAGGATGCACATATACTAGGACTGATTAAAATTCACTCAAAATATTAACAATAGGATAACCCAAACTATTACAAACTAAATTGAAACTTTTACCTTTTTCAACTTCGTTTACTTACGTTTTTGTGGGAAAATGGTTACCTTCCTTTTTGTTAATTCTGATTCAAGCAACTTAGCAACTCAAACAGTGAATTACTGCGTTGGCTTCAGGAAAATATTTACAGCCTAGTTAGTGTTGTGCAGGAATGTTCCAATTCTGTCGCGTCTGCGTTAGGATCAATTCAACAGCAAGAACAGCTTGAACTGTACAAAGATCGGTGTACTTGTTTGGCTCACATTTTCTCGTCATTAGCCAGAACTTTACGGCCTCCTCTAGTAGATCAGCCCACTAGCCCTGGATCTGGTGGTCTTGGAGACTTGCGTACTATGGAGTGTATTCTTGTAGTTCTTGAAATACCTCCTCCTCTCGGTAGTCGTGAATTGGCATCTATTACATTCCACGCCTTACATTCGTTGGCTGATGATGCAATTCGAGTAAGTTTGAAGAACTGTATCTTTAATAAGTGTCTAATAATATTTCTAACGTTTCACTTAAGCAATCAATAGCTGTCTTGTTTGTTTTTAAACCAACTATCTTGACACTCGCTCTACTACTCAGCAAAGGGATTGTACTACTTTTTATTAAAAATACGGCACTGATGGTTCCCTAACCCGTAGCGTCACAACTGATAACTGATAAAAACTACAATGATGGGTCCATTCCTAAGTCTTTTCGGATTTAACTAAATTTTAGTATTCTGTGTAGACAGAAGTAAATTTATATTCTAAAAGCAATTAGAAGCAAGGAATGGACCATCAATAAAATGATTCATGGATAAGTAAATCATTGAAAAGAAGAAAGTAATATGGCCAAATAATCCGGTGGTAGGTAGTTTAGCTTAGTCTCAAAGACATTTCTTCCTTTGGGGTATACTGAAAATAAGAAGCATATTTTGCGAACCAGTTAAAGCATACTGATAAACTGTTAAATAAAGGTCAAGTAAATCATAAAAGAATGTCTCTACCTCCTATTCCGATAATAAAGAATTCAGCTCTCAGCAGATATCCAAACTGTGTCATTTTCCCATAACATTTCCCCCTAAGTTACAAACGTATTGCCATCACTGTTTATTGTGTACTTTCTAATTTGTTGAACATTATGGAATTTATTTACGATGACTTTTCGGACTCTTATTTGAATTAGCACCGGTCCATGAGTGCTGCAGTATCTGTGAATCAGGGCCCCTTGGAATCTTCGGTTAACAACTCTAATACCTCTACTGGCGTGGCACGCCCAATTGCAGCCTTAATTCCTTACTTCACTCGCGTTGTGGTTGCGTTAACTAGTTACTGTCCTAGTAATACATCCGACTTAGAAAGCACCGATGAATTAAGAGATTTTCGTGAGGATGTTCATGATCTCATGCAAGATATTCTGGGTTTGGTTGGAGCTGAGGCTATTTTTGTCGAGGTAATTATATATACACAATATTATATAATTGGTGTGATTTCTTAAATACTGTTTTTATATTTTTATTAACTTTATTGTACAACATTCATTTCATATTTTGAATTGCGCTTGAGTTTGATCAAGGTAGCTAGTGTGTGACCAGTCGTACAGTACCAAGTCCTACGTTGATAAAGGTTAACTGCTGATTTTTCCAAATAGACGTCATGGATGGTTGTTTGAAATTTGTCGCTCTCTAGGTCTTATAAGTATTTTATGTGGGATGGAAACTACTGTATCATCTTTGCCATTAACCTCATCAATAACGATGTGTATAAAATTATACCTTACATCAGAGTGTGGTAACAACAAAGTAACATCATGTATTATGTAGCAAGCTGCATATACTAGAATAGTAATCATGGTTAACGTGTATTATAATTTGCAAATTATTGTTCTGAAATCAATCTTTGACAGTTACGCACAATCTAATTTCACAAGATGAAAACCGAATTCATAAAGTAGTGGTAATATATAAAAGAAAAATTGCATATAAGTATATAGTACAGGAAGAAAGATTTAGTATGTAGAAAGAAAGATATGAAGCGATTTTAATCTCATAGTTTAAAGGAAAATAGAGAGTGTATACACCTACGCCATTGTGATCGATTCTGAGCCATGTCACCCACAGTCTCCAACCATTGGCTACGATAGCTGCGCGGACCCCAACCAAGTAGTCTGCATCTACCAACACGACTAAGACTAGACGTTAGTGAATTCAAGGAGGTTAGCGACTGCAAGGATAGATTGTATGGTCATAAATAGTGATCTACGTTAACCACGCAGCTTTTTTATACTTTTTGGACGTGTTCTGCATGGTCTGTTTGCCTCTTGTGCAGTTCTTGACCCTGAATTCAACCAAAGATAGCAATAATCCTAGTATTTCGTTTCTGAATTTAACTGTCTAATTTACATAACCAATTTTAAGTACACCATGAATATGTACCAATAATAGCTGTTCTGGTATGTAATTTCAATTTTGTTTTTGAGTTATTGCTGAAATTTGTGTGTTATGTACCCTTCATATTTTTGACTTGTCAATTTTATCATATCGCTTGTCATTATTGAGTTTTCCGATTATCTTGACCGTAGTTGTAAGTACTTAGTTTATGGTTAAGAAAGACAACAATAATTGATGCACCTATTGCTTTATATATTGATGGTTATATTGCAAGACGTGAGACTTTTTAGTCTTCTTTCTTTTCCCTTCCATTTTGATATTCGAAGGTAGTGCCTACTTTTCGGGCTAAATTTATAACAAATATAATCTTCCATTTCTAGCTATACAATTATGTACAGAAGCTGCAAATGTTAGCTATGTCTGAGAATGCACAGGCGTCGGCATATGAAGTGCTTCGAGAGTCTGAAGCATGTCTGTTCATGCTTACAACTGTTGCTAAACGTCTATCTCCTCGTGATCCTGAAGGACATATTTCGAATCTTATATCAAAATTAGTACTCCCAGGTCTCACAGGACCATGCCCTCCTGCTCTTCAAGAAGTCGGTTGTATGCTGTATATGGAGTTGGCTCATTGGGCTGCCTGCCATCCTCAGCTCCGGCGTCAAATCGTTAACCAGCTGATTGAGATAATCGAGAAGTCTGCTGGCGTTGAGTCCCAAACTTTACGGGTTAGTTGTTTTGTAATGTGTTTTTCGTAGTATTTCCAAGTTATGTTTATTACCTCGAGTTCGAATAGAGTGTGTTTATTAGTCATTGAATTGAGATTGTAAAAAAAGTCAAGATGTACTTATGTTCGTAGTTCAAGTAGTTTTTCGTGAGCTATAAATCGGGTTTTTAATCATAATATTTAAGGCACTTAGTTCTTAGTAAAGCTGGATTCATTCTATGTCAAGAAGAATTGTTTTTATTCAATAGATCTGTAGTCTTTTTTGATGAATTTTTTTTAACTGTCGTAATTCCCCTGACATAATCGTCGTTCTAAAAGATTGGAAATGATGAAGTAATCGATCATAGATACGAATAAAAATGAGGTGACAGCACCTTGAAAGTATTTATTCAGAATATGCTGGTCATATCCCACCAATAAGTTTACTGCTGAACGAGACGGGTAGATTTGTTTGTAGCGTAAATTATAGGATAAAATTTTCATCCCAATTTTTATGTGAATTTCAGTCTAATTTCCAGAAGTGTTAGAAACAAAACAAAACTTTTTAATAAGTGCTTAGATATCTTTGATTAGCGCTTGTGTATAATGTCGTTACTACAATAGTAATAATCGTCTGAATTCACTCGCCAACTGATTCATAATTACTTGATTGATATCCAGGCAATCTGTTAACAGCCTAGTTCTACTCCTAATGAAGGTTTTTAATATTAATTTTGTCCATGGGTACACCGATTGTTTTTAATTTTCTGCTACATCCCAAGTTCCTTCGACTGTTTACTTTGAAGAAAATGTAATCTTAGCTTTTATGGAGTTGTATATCGGTTTCCTAGCAAATTAAACTAGTAATTCGTTTAAACGAAATTTGTATTTTTACTTGTATCACTGAGATGAGTCTCAGTTAATAATGTAAAATTTCGTAGATACAGAAACTACAAACAAGCTGGCGTTCCAATCGATTTACGCACAAAATCCTCTTTTTTGGTCGAATGTAGAGGACCAATGGCAAATGATGCTTCCCATTTCAAAGGTGTTTCATTTGACGATTGGATAATTTTCTCAAAGTCAACTAGTTAGCTTATTTCAATTGGTATTCAACATTGTAGGGTCTATGCCGTTTCGTGCTCTTACTTAATTCATCCTCATTTCTACTCTTTATGAAAGAAAAACACAAGCTTCAAGTAGCCAACCTAAAGCTCTAATGAAGAATTAGTTCTATTACCATTATTTGTAATCTATAATGGCTGCTATTGTTTACTTGTGATGGACTTCATCGTTCGAAAGTTATTACCACTTGTGTTTACCGTTCGTTTTCACATATGAAGTATGGAACACTGTTTTTGAGTGTTTTATTTAAAATTAACAAATGCTGACCATATTCTTTGATTATTGGATAACTAAACGACTATTTCCAATGGATCCCTAATGGTATCTATTTCTACAGATGGTTTCGCCGCAATAGGTAGGTGCATTGTATATTTTTGATTTTAGTATTTAGAAAGTTTTATTGGTTTGTCAATATAATCAATACCTTCCCTATAACAATCATAACTGTACAAACAGAAAGGCACAGGGAACTGGTTGTCGCAACTTTCCAAACTCATCAAGTGTTGGGAGACATTCATATTCTAAAGTTGAATTTCCAAATTCTTGACTCGTAATGCTGCGAAGAAAGTCCAACTTTTTTTTACTTGGCATCAGTCAATTACTCTTTTGACAACATTTATTAGTGTTTAGCTGGATTTTGACTTTTTATTTTGTATTCCAGCCAGGTCAAAAGCTTGCTGTTGGAGCGGCACTTTCAGCTCTTGGTTCTTTATGTGCTGTGTATCGCGCAACCCCAACATCTACACCTAACGGAGATGTTTCTACTCATTCCCCTTGTAACTCCGATTCTCTTCGTCTTGCTCTAATTGACGAACATTGGCAAGATTTGGTCAATCGAGTTGCCTACAATCTACCAAGACTTGCTTGGGTTCCTATCCATGATGCTACTCATTTTTTCTCTGGTATTGGACGAGGTCTAATATGCTCTGTGGGCACAGGTGGTGGGGGAGTTGAATTCGACCCTCGAGTGTCTAGACAAGCTTTTCCGATGAGAGTAGCACAAATATGTAGCGTCAGCTTGGAATGTTTATCTAAGGTAATTATCAACTTTCATGATAAGTAGTTTTGAATTTTTATCAGGAGTCTGTATGATTTAGTTTACGGACTAAAAGTATTGTTATTACACTACACATGTACAGAATAGTTTTTTTTCCGCCTACTAATATAAGATACTAGCAATATGGTGAACAATATATTGTAGAGGTTAATCCTTCTATATCTGAATCCAATAAATATTATCCCGTTAACTAAGTATTTACGTAGGCTAAATCTCCTAGTCAGTCAGTCAGTAACAACGTAGAACTTCGCACGTACGTACATCAGTTCGTGTTGCCATATCACATTGGCAGAGAGATCCTATTGTCTATTCAAATCCCGTAGTGGTAGCAAGAGTATAAGCAGTAATCGGGAAGATTAGGGTTTGAAGATATTATTCAAAAAGTATAATACAGTGAAATAAATTTGGGAAGAGGAAAAAAAGGGACATGAAGATTTCAGAAGATTAGAATTTGAGAGAACACAAAGAGTGGATGCACTTGCGCCATTGCAAACGATTTTGAGCCATGTCATTCAGGGTCTTTAACCATCGATTGCTATCGTCTCGCGGATCCTAACCTACCAACACAGCTCAATCCACTTATCAGTGACCTCATGGATTTGTGCCATGTTGTGGTCTGGCCGACCCTAGCTTCCTTCCAACCTACTCCTACACCACTGAACATCGCACGTCGGGGCAGTCGGTGGTTGGGCATACGTAACACGTGTCCCAGCCATCCCAACCTACTGATGAACTTTCACTACTTCATCAATTGATTTTCCATCCTTACCTAGTACCCGTTTCCTAACAACTGCGTTACTTAGTCGGTGATCCACTGCCCTGTGGGTTAGACCTTTGGGTCAAAAGCTCGGGGTGTGGCACCCCAAGAAAACCACCTGCTTCGGTCTGGGCACCCGGGCAGTATCACAGCCCACACACAAAAAATGAACTGTCTACTTATGGAAAATATTCTTCTTGCTCCGAATAACAATCAAATGACTCACATTATTATTATTATTGTTATTATTATTATTATTATTTACTACGTCATTTATTCACCCTCTTCTATTCCCACTCTGTGCATACTTATTTTTCGACTTCTCGACCTTGAGTATGCGGATGATATTGTCTTCCTGTGTGATGATATCCATGCCATACAATCCACGCTTAATCAGTTGGCAATCAGTGTCCGTAGGTATGGCATGCGCTTTGCACCTCCGAAGTGCAAAGTACTTCTACAAGACTCGCAGGATTCTAATCTTGTACTCACTGTGGATGGTGAGCAGATAGAAGTAGTCAAGAAGTTCGTGTATCTGTGTAGATGCATAAGTGCTGGTGGTGGCGTGAGTGATGAAATCAATGCACGTATAATGAAAGCCAGGGCAGCTTAAGCCAATCTGGGTCATCTTTGACGCCTTCGTGATGTCAGTCTGGCTGTAAAAGGTCGGATCTACAACGCGTCGGTGAGATCAGTTTTGCTCTATGCTTGTGAAACCTGGCCTCCTCGAGTTGAGGATGTTAGACGACTCTCTGTGTTTAATCATCGTCGTCTCCCAAGGATTGCTGCCATCCAATGGCAACATCATGTTAGTAATGCAGAGGTTCGGCATCGTGTGTTCGGGCACAGAGACGATAATTCAATTGGTGTCACTATCTTGAGATATCGACTTTGGTAGCTTGGACATGTTCTACGAATGTTGTCCCGGAGGATCCCTCGTCGTGCATTATTTGTCGACTCTGGGACTGGTTGGAAGAAGCGGAGAGGTAGTCAGTGTATGACATGGTGTCGTGGTATGAAAGTTGCAAAGGGCTGGCTTGTGTTGGTCCTTCACGACTCCCTGGCTGGCGTCCTAGAGATGGTGCAACACAGTGTCTAGAGACGTTATCAGATATGGCTCAGAATAGAAGCCTGTGGCGATCCTGCTGTAACCTTTTACTCTCTTCATAAAAAGTGGTTGTGTCTCCCTTAACTGAAAGAATTCTTCTGATTGTACCTTTTCGTTTCCCCCATTATTATTATTACGCTACCTCACCTTATTCTGTTCGTTATTGTTTTTTTAATTTTATTTTCTTAACGCTCCTCACCTTTTTTCCTTCTCCTCTTCAAATCCTCATTGTTTTATGTGGCGCATGTATATTTGGTGCCCTCTTGTACCAATATTTGTGTTCAAATAAATAAATATAAAATAAATGAATAAATGGTCCCAGAATATACGAGCGATGTTTCGAAGACACCTATGATCGAATACTAGTAACCTGCGAATATCTTCTACTCTTACCGGCCGTCTTTCACTGCCATAAAGTAGGACGGAGCGAACTGCTGCACAGTAAACACGTTCTTTGGTTGATAGATGGATTCCCGCCTACGCCATAAATGACGGAAGTTGGCAAAAGCTAGTCGAGCCTTCTGTATCCGTGTTGAGATTTCGTCACACACCAGACCACAAGGGCTGATGAGACTTCCAAAATAAGTGAAGCGGTCGACACGCTCAATTACTTCATTCCCTATCATTAATTGGAGTGTTGATGCCACCCAATCCTGAAGTAACATTTTACATTTCAAGGGAGAGAATCGCATCCCGAACATGCTTGCATTGTTGCTTACAGTGGTCAGAAGACTCTGCATTTTGTCAGCGTCTTCACCAAATAAAACTATGTCATCAGCATATTCTAAGTCAACAAGTGAATCTCCCGGTAGAAGTTCAACCCCTGGAAATTTAGATGAGCAAAGTGTTATCTCTAAAAGCATGTCAACGACAAAGTTAAATAAAAATGGAGCGAGTGAACAGCCCTGACGAACACCACTTGATGTAATCAATTCTGATGACAGTTCGCCATAAGCTCTCACTCGGTCAATTGTGTTCGAGTATGGAGTCTGTACGAGGTTAATGTACTTCTTTGGTACTCCTTTCAGTAACAAACACTACCATAGAACCTCACGATCAACAGAGTCGAATGCCGTCTTAAGGTCAGTCAGTCAGCTACAACGTAGGACCAGGCACATATGTGCATCGGTCCAGGTTGCCATACCTCATTAGCACAACAAGATGAACACCGGATTCATAGGAGTGGTTAGGTCAAAGGTTGCAATAAGGATATAGTATAGGAAGGAAGAATTAGTTCGTAGAAAGAAAGATATGAAGTGATTTTAATCTCTTAGTTTAAGGGAAGACAGGGAGTGTATACACCTACGCCATTGTGATCGATTCTGAGCCATGTCACCAAGAGTCTCCAACCATTGGTTACGAAAGTCACGCGGACCCCAACCAAGTAGTCTGCATCTACCAACATGGCTAAGACTAGAAGTTAGTGACTTCAAGCACTGATGCCACGTTTTGGTTTGGCCGCCCCTAACTTTTTTCCAACCATCCCCTACACCGGTTAGCATTGCACGTCGTGGTAATCGGTGTTCAGGCATACGTAATACGTGGCCCAACCATCTCAGTCGATGAAGATTCACAACCTCATCAACTGATTTACCATCGTTACCTAATACCCTGCGTCTAACCTCACTATTACTTACCCGGTGATCCCAGCAGACGCCAGCAATATTTCTAAGGCATCTGTGGTCAAATACTTGTAGCTTACGGGTGTCTTCTACTCTTAAAGGCCATGTTTCGCTGCCGTAAAGTAAGACAGAACGGACTGCCGCGCAGTATACTCGTCCTTTTATTGATAGACGGATATCTCGCCTTCGCCAAAGGTGACGTAAGTTGGCAAAAGCCAAGCGAGCTTTTCGAATCCGTGCTGAGATTTCGTCAGACACCAACCCATTAGGGCTGATCAGACTTCCAAGATAAGTGAAGTTGTCAACGCGTTCGACTACTTCACTCCCTATCCTTAGTTTAGGTGTTGATGCAGACCAGTCCTGAAGCAACAACTTGCATTTAGAGGGAGAGAAGCGCATCCCAAACATTCTGGCATTGTTGCTTAGTGCTACCAGAAGACTCTGCATTTTGTCAGCGTCTTCACCAAACAGGACTATGTCATCTGCGTATTCTAAGTCGATAAGTGGACCTCCTGGAAGGAGATCAATACCCGAGAATTCAGTCGACGAGAGTGTTATTTCCATCAATAGGTCAATGATGAAGTTAAACAAAAATGGAGAAAGTGGACAGCCTTGACGGACACCACTTGAAGTTGCAAAAGTAGATGACAGTTCGCCATAAGCCCTGACTCGACTAGTAGTGTTCGAGTAAAGAGCCTTCACAAGGTTTATGTACTTCTGAGGTACGCCTTTCAATGACAAACACTGCCACAGAGTCTCGCGGTCTACAGAGTCAAACGCTGCTTTTAAGTCAAGAAAGACCACCATCGTCGGACGCCGATAGGTATGCCTGTGTTCTAGAACCTGACGAATGGTGAATATGTGGTCGATGCAGCCACGACCAGGTCTAAAGCCAGCTTGGTTCTCTCGAGTTTGTAGTTCACGAGTCTTAGTTAGACGTCTGATAATTATCGAGGCCAGTATTTTAGATACTATGTTTGTTAAACTAATCCCTCTGTGGTTGTCACAGGATGATTTTGACCCTTTCTTATATATTGGGACGATAAGTGATTGCGACCAGTCAGATGGGATAAAGTCTAATTCCCAGATCTTAGCTAAAATATTAGTCAACCTAATCGCTAAAATTGGACCACCATCCTTAAAGACCTCTGGAGCCAATCCATCTGGACCAGCTGCCCTTCCTCGTTTCAGATTAACTATAGCCTTTTGAACTTCAGCAAGAGTTGGGGGACCTACTTCAATGTTCCATTCACATTGTCTGGGAATGGAGGGTAGTTGTAGAGTAGCTGAAGGCCAGCTGAACTGTTCTCTAAAATGTTCCGCCCATCGTTCTAAACGTCTGGACTGGGAGCAGATGAGAGTATTATCTTTTTCCGAAATAATCTCACTTACACTTGACTTATTAATTCCAGTTTCTTTTATTAGTCTGTAAAGCTGTCTTGTGTTTCCTATAGTCGCCGCCTTTTCCATCTCTTTTGCTTTCGTTACCCACCACTGCTCACGGTCGTTCCTTAGACTTTTTCTTAACCTAGATCTGATTTGTTTTCGCTCTTCATCATGTTCAGAACCTGATGGGACGACTTTGCGAGAATCCATCAGTGTGACAGACCTTGAAGAAATCCACTGGTTCCTTGCAACTCTGTGGTTTAAGTCACTAATAGATGTCACTGCTGTTTCCACAGCTGATTGTATGCCCTTCCAAGCAACATCTGGGTCAGCCTCGTCTTCACAACTACCTAAGTGTGACCTCAGTTGTTCCTGGAACCTACTTTTGGTTTTCTCGTTACTCAACTCAGTTCTAACGGGTCTTTTTACTGTGGCTTTTTTGCGTCCAGTGAGGCGCAAGCAGATGCGTGCCCGTATTAGGGCATGGTCGGAGTCCAAGCAGGTACTCCAGAATGAGCGACAATCTTCTACCGACCCTCTCCAACGATGACTGATGGCAATATGGTCTATTTGAGTCCATCGTTGGTTTGGTGTAGGGGGTCGCCATGTTAGACGATGTCTCTCCTTATGCTTAAAATTTGTGTTTGCTAAAAATAAACGATTGTCTGAGCATAGCTGCAGCAAACGATCACCATTATCTGTTCGCTGTGTCGGAATACTAAAATATCCACCTAAATGCCTTTCTGTTTGGTTTAAGCTACCTATCTGAGCATTAAAATCACCTGCTACGAGTACTATGTCTGAGCGTTTAGCTTTCTGAAGAAGTTCAGAAAGCTTTCTGTAAAATTCATCTTTCACTTCATCTGAGCTGCAGTCAGTGGGAGCGTAGACAGAAACGACAAAAAGGCAACGACGTGTGTCCCTATCCTTCCGAGTTCTTACGCAGCCGTTCAGCCGAACAGCACATAGACGACTGTTGACGGGGATCCACTCTAGCAGTGCTTGTTCGGCCCTCATGCTTAGTGCTATGCCTACACCTGCCAGTCCACGAGAACTGGCCATCGGGTCACCAGATACACGAAGGGTGTATCTCGTTGGCTCTCCGTTCTGCCGAGGTGAGGTCAAGTGAATGACCACACTGGGATCCTGTATGCGTGTTTCAGAGACACAGCATACATCAATGGTAAGAGACTCTAGGGTTTTAGCCAAGGAAGCCTGTTGACCGATTTGACATAGAGTGCGTACGTTGAAAGCTCCAATGTGTAGTTTGGAGCGAGGTTTCAGTAGACCTGGGACAGAGTTTTGAGCACTAGAATCGTTGGCTATGGTGACACTTGAAGAGGAAGCCGAAGGAGGAAGTTTAGGGTTGAAAGTCGATGTAGGAGGAATAATAGGAATTGAAGAGGAAGGTTGATTATGAATACAGTGATCTTGGGTGCTGTTAGAGGTATGAGGGCGGTTATCACTTCCCGGTTGCCCACACCGAGGAAGGGTTCTTCTGGAGGTACCTGAAAAGGAAATTGGATTAGAGGTGGTCTCAGTGACCTGAGAGCGTGACCGCAGTGCCCAAGGGACAACTGCTTGAGGCCGGTCGCGCACGGCCTTTTCGTGGAAGATTTTCGACGTGTTAGCTCCGTTCTTCAAAGGGCCTTACCGCCGGAGACGGAGATCCGTGAGGTAAGGTGAGGTGTGCATTTTTAGGGTCGACCTTTTCTAACCCCACCCCTCCTTGTGGGAAGGCAGCATCGCTGTCATGCTGGTTGTCTGAAGGAAACACCTTACTGCTGTCACACCTCTGTACAGTCAGCAGTACGACTTCGCCTTCGGACCTTGGGTTTGTTGCTTTTAGTCTTACCGCTCTTCAACCGACCTGTCTGACATGGTAGGACCTTGAGGAACAGTTGTTCCAGCCAGTATAGCTCGGTTGCTTCATCACGATAGGCAAGCCCGACCACCACGTCAAGGTAGCAACAACGGTCGGGTCCGTCTTAAGGTCGAGAAATACTACCATTGTGGGGCGTCTGAATGTGTGTCTGTGTTCTAGAACCTGACGTAGTGTGAATATCTGATCTATACAACCACGTCCAGGTCGAAAACCGACCTGGTTTACTCTAGTTTGCTCTTCACGAGCTTTAGTTAGGCGTCGAAGTATTATTGAAGCTAATATTTTAGACACTATATTAGTTAAACTGATTCCTCTGTGATTGTCACAAGAGGACTTTTGTCCTTTCTTATAGACTGGCACAATCAGTGATTGAGACCAGTCAGATGGGATTATGTCCAGTTCCTAGATTCTACCTAAGACCTCAGTTAATCTCACTGCTAATACTGGACCACCATCCTTAAGAATCTCAGGGGTAAACCTGTCAGGGCCTGCTGCTCTCCCACCCTTCAGATTTCCTATAGCTTTTTCAACTTCATAAAGAGTCGGAGGACCTACACTAACTTGCCATTCAGGTTGACTGGAGATCGTGGGAAACCGAAGTGTGGCTGAAGGCCAGTTGAACTGATCACTAAAGTGTTCTGCCCATCGATCCAATCTCCTGGATTGAGAATGTATAACATATCCATCTTTCTGTGAGAGTGTTTCGCTAACAGTCGGTTTCCTTAACACGTCTGAACAATTGTCTGCTATTACCTATTGCCGCTGCCTTTTCCATCTCTCTTGCTTTTGCTACCCACCACTGTTCGCGATCATTGCGCAGACTTCTTGTCAGCTTGCGCTAAAGCTGACTCCGCTCTTCACTATGTTCAGAGTCAGGTGGAATGAGTTTCCGAGCATTTATTGGTGCGATAGATGCTGCTGAGATCCAGTGTTTCTCCCTAACCTTATGGTTTACCTTACTAGCAGATATCACTGCTGTTTCCACAGCTTTTCAGATATCATTCCACACTACCTCGGGGTGGGCATCACCTACATGGCTGCCTAATTGTTTTTCTTGTTGTTCCTGAAACGTATTCTTAGCTTGGTTATCAATAAGTAGGACACTAAGAGGTTTCCTTGAAGCGTCTTTTCTACGCCCAGTAGGACGTAGACAGATACGCACTCGTTCTAGAGCATGATCTGAATCTAAGCATGTGCTCCAGAATGAGCGACAGTCTTCTATCGAGCCCCTCCATTGGTAGCTGGTAGCGATGTGATCTATTTGGGTCCAACGTTGGGACGAATTAGGGGGTCGCCATGTCAAAAGATGATTTTCCTTATGCTTGAAGTTAGTATTTGCAAGAAACAGGCGGTTATCTATGCATAACTGCAACAGACGGTCGCCATTATCTGTTCTTTGAGCCACGACACCATAAGATCCACCCAGGTATCATTCTTTTTCGCTTAGTTTACCTACTTGAGCTTTGGTCACCAGTCACTGTAACTACATCAGAGCGCCTAGCTTTTCGGAGAAGGTCGGAAAGCTTTCTGTAAAACTCATCTTTTACATCATCTGAGCTGCAGTCAGTTGGAAAGTAGGCAGAGACGACGAAGAGTCTCCTTATCTTTCCGAGTTCTTACTGTTCCGTTTAGTCGGACAGCGCACAAACGACTGTCTACTGGGATCCAGTTTAAGAGAGCTAGTTCTGCTCTGTGACTCAATGCTATACCTACGCCAGCGAGGCCACGGGAAGCAGCATCAGGGTTTTCAGATACACGAAGTGTAAATCGAGTTGGTTCTGTATTTTGATATGGTGAGGTCAAATGAATGACGCTACTTGGATGCTGTATGTGCGTTTCGGAGACGCACGGCTTTTTTGTGGAAGGTTTTTAAGGTGTTAGCTCCGTTCTTCAAAAGGCCTTACCGCCGGAGACAGAAATCCGTGAGGTAAGGTGAGGTGTGACCTTTTTAGGGTCGACCTTTATTAACCACTTCCTTCCTTGTGAGAAGGCAGCATCGCTGTAGATGTTGGTTGTCCGTGTGAAACACCTTACTGCTGTCACACCCCTCTACAGTCAGCAGTACGACTTCGCCCTCAGACCTTGAGTTGCTGCTTTTGGTCTTACCGTTCTCCAATCGACCCTGGCATGATAGAACCTACAGGAACATATATTCCAGCCAATATAGCTCGGTTGGGTCATCACAATAGGCGCGCCCGACCACCACGTCAAGGTAGCAGTCGGGTAGTAGTATTATTCAAAAGCCAGAACACCTGTTGTAGATAAAGTTTATTATTAATCATTAGTAAAAACCCGTAAGCGCTCAGAATGGAAGCACATAGAGAAACCAGTGAGTTTGTGTGTGTTACAACCGATAGGAAAACATACGAATATTGACGTGCAGACATGCGCTCAATCAGACTCACACATAATTTTACATAGTGGATTAAATGTCTAGATTACAGTGAGTAAACAAATAATAAAGTGGTTGAATGGGCTTACTACAATCCCGTTTTTGGTCTAGTGTGCACATGAATTAATGTCCACTTTCATTCTCTATATCTTAAATAGTATAAATCTAATAGTGAATATGCTAAAACTCTACTATACTATTACTAATTAAGATTATCTATCAAGTCATTGCTAAAACGTTTCATTCTAGTCATCTTTTTGGAAGAAATGGTCACTTTCAGTATGTTGTCTCATATCCATCAGTGAATTCGGCTTCAGTTTATGTCAATACACATGGATGTTTACTGTTCGTAAACACTAAGTATATCTACAACCAATACTTTAGATACCCAGTTTTGTGCTATAGGATAGCTGGCTCCTGTTGCGATTTGCTTGTGTTCGTTGTACTTAGTGGATGTTGGTTCAAATTCTATTTTGCCAATGTTCAGTCAGTTCGTTGGTCTCAATTACTATACGTTCATATGATCCTTCACTTTTTTGTCTATCGTTTTTAGCTGATGGATGGTAATGTCCCTATCGAAGGTTCAGATACTCTCAGTGATCCCCGTGTATGGCTTGATTACGTAGCAGCACTGTTTCGTACTTTCAATTGCCTTTTACGACGTTTGGGAAACCCAAGTTCTAGTCAGTGGGACACAAGGGAACGCAACGCTGTTGATCGTACTACGTCCGAGTTGGTGCTTTCTGCTCAGAATTGTTTAGCTGAATGCTTGCAGTTAGTAAGAGAAGTAATATGGCCAGTTGTTACCCGTGTACTCACACATTATGCCTCGCGCATGCGTCCAATGGAGCATGTTTGTCGTCTCATACGTTTCATTGTGCGTTGTTTTTCTGTGCACTTACGAGATCTTCTCCCGGAGCTTGCTGAAAAAGTTAGTTCAATTACTGATGATAAATTTATTCTGTCATGTTATTGCTACTATAACATTTGACAACTAAATGGATCAAAATGTAAACTTCATTTCACATTAGGGTAAAATTTTGTTGGTTATCGTTTATTTATTTCAACACACACGTTGGTACATGGGAGCGCAAAATATTTATGCGCCACACTAGAAGGATAGCGAATGTAAAGTATGCATAATAAAGTGAAGAAGAACAACAACCAACAGGAATTAGTGTATGAGAGTGAAATAATAATAGTAATAGATGGGAGAAACTGTTCGGTTGGTAAAACTAAAACCAGAAGGAATTCTTTAAGTTAAAGAAGAAAATAAGAGAGAGTTACAGCAGGATCGCCACAGGCTTCTATTCTGAGCCATTTCTGATAACATTTCTAGTCACTGTGTTACACCATCTCTGAGATCCTAACCAGAGAGTCATGAATGACCAACAGAAGTCAGTCCTGCACAACTCTCTTTCATACTACTACTCCATGTCGTCTACCGACCACCTCCGCTTTTTGCAACCAGTCCCAGAGTCGACAAATAATGCACGACTTGGAATTCTCTGGGACAACATTCGCAGAACATGTCCAAGCTACCAAAGTCGATATCTCAAGATAGTGACACCAATTGAATTATCGTCTCTGTGCCCGAACACACGATGCCGAACCTCTGCATTACTAACATGATGTTGCCATTGGATGGCAGCAATCCTTGGGAGACGACGATGATTAAACACAGAGAGTCGTCTAACATCCTCAACTCGAGGAGGCCAGGTTTCACAAGCATAGAGCAAAACTGATCTCACCGACGCGTTGTAGATCCGACCTTTTACAGCCAGACTGACATCACGAAGGCGTCAAAGATGACCCAGATTGGCTTAAGCTGCCCTGGCTTTCATTATACGTGCATTGATTTCATCACTCACGCCACCACCAGCACTTATGCAGCTACCCAGGTGGTCGTATGCCTTCACTCTTCCTGAGGTGTTTGTATATGAGGCTTTTAAGATGTTAATAAACTTCTCAGGCACACCCTTCTTCAACAGACAATCCCGTAGAACAGTTCTGTCTAACAAATTGATGGTGGCCTTGATGTCAAGAGACACTAGGACTGTTGGCTTGTAATAAGTATGACGGTGCTCTGGTATTTGATGGTGGGTGAAAAGATGATCAAAACAGCCTCGATAAAAACGAAAACCAACCTGCTCTTTGCGAGTCGATCTTTTCTGTTTTAAACAATCTGCGAAGTATGACGGAAGCCAATAGTTTGGACACAATCGGAAGTAGACTTATCCCCCAATAATTGTCGCATAGATTACGTGAACTCCTATTAAAGATAAAGACGACTATCGACTCATTCCACGATATTGGAACACCTTGTAACTACTAGAAATTTTTAAACAACTCAGTCAGTTATCTAACCAGACGGTCGTCACCAGATCAGTTGAGCTGCCCCTCAAAAAAATCTGCCCATCGTCCAAGATGTCGGTAGATGTTGGTGATTGACACCCTGTCATCTTTACAGATTGTCTTGCTGGCAGTGACTCGGATGAGTTGAAAGACCTTCCGGTAGTTACCAGATGCAGCTGCTGCTTCCAACCCATTGGCACGCTCCGACCACCAGGTTTCTCGGTTCTTATGCAAGCTATGCACATCTTCATTGCGTGACAATCTTCGTTTGTGGCCAAGCTCGAGGTCACCCAGAGTAGACTGATGTGCTTCAATGGGTTGTAAGGATCCTGTAGAAACCTTATGCTTATGAACTGGACGTTTCACGAAGCTGCAAGTGACTTTACTCTCAATTTTCATGGTGTCGTGCAATTGCAACTAATGCTCATTTATACTTTCCGGTGGGGTGTTAGCTAGCCTTGAACCTAGCTCGGTTTGATATTTAGTTGCAACAAAAGTTGTAACCAATTTGCTGACATCGATTCGTTTAGGACAATTGATTTGTTGGCCAGAGCCACACCAAAGGTAAATGATCATGATGTGATCAGAGTCCAGGCTTGAGATGTAGAGCGAGGGCGCCATGTGGCACATCGGCGATGACTGTGCCGGTAGTTAGTGTTAGCTAGAAACAGGTTGTGATCTGCGCAGAGTTGCAGTAGACGGTCCCTGTTATCTAACCTGTGACCAACAAGTTTCCATCGGCCACCTAAACGACTCTCTTTTGTGTCTAGACACCAGACTTGTACATTCAAGTCTCCGTCTAGCACTGCAATATTTGTCGAAGGAGCTTTCCGGAGATCATTTAACTGGTGGTAAACTTCATCCTTGATTGCATTCCGGTTGTAATCTGTCGTGAGATAGGCAGAGACTAAAGAAAAACATCTTTTCTTACACCGAATTCTTCTTACTTTGATGGAGCTTTCTAATCTAACAGCACATAACCGACTATTAATGGGGATCCAATGTATTAGTTCTGCCTCAGCTCTAGTGCTTAGTGCGACACCAACGTCCGCATAACCAGACAAAGATGCCACAGGGTCCCCGGATAAGCGCACGTAAAACAGGCTTTTCGAAGCGACAAATGGAGAGCCAATTTGTAGTACTTCACTAGTGTTAAATAAAAATCTTGGGTAGACAACAGACATAAATGTTGAGACTTTCTAAAGACACAGTCAACCCTATCTGTTGTCCGATTCGCATTAGTGTGCGAACGTTGAAAAAGGCCATTTTGAATGGTATTTATTCGATTTAAGAAAGATTGGGTCAGTATTTGTAGTCGATGGTAGGATTCAACTTTCGACCAGTCAGTGACTCGAGATCGTTTAGATAGAACAGAGTTTCCACCATAGGCAAGCTGTTGTATGAGTTGAAAAATCGCGATACATAAAGTGGGAATAAAAGAGAGTTGATAAGTGTCGTAGTATATAAAAAATAAAAATGAATGTGAATTGTCTGAATTTTAATTGAGGCGAGAGTAGTATTTTCAGTAATTATCGTCATTTCATTTTATTTGTGTGTGGGCTGTGATACTGCCCGAGTGGCCAGATCGAAACAGGTGGTTTGCTTAGGAGGCCACACGCGGAGTCTCTGACCACAAGGCAGTGGAGCAACGTCAGGAGGTACAGTCACACGGCAGCTGGTGTCCAACGTTTGGTTCATTTGCAATTTGTTCCCTCAGGATCCTGGACCCCATGTGCACCATTGGTTTAGAATCAGGATTTTTCATCTGCACCGAGTGGATCTTCCGTACCAACCAATCCGGTTCTCTTTTTGTCCTCTCAGCCGTAAACTACACCCCCGCCGCGAGAAGGCAGTGAGTAGGAATTCCCTTATAATGTTGGTGTACCCGTCACCATGTGAGTGTATTTCGAGAGGGAGAGTGAACTCTCCCCACTTTCGGCCGTACCAGTGCATTTGAGGGCGACGTGAAAGATCCCACATCTTCTAGATCTTTTCCATCAAGTGTGATTGTGTTGGTGTTTTCCGTGCTGTATTTGAGGATCTTGCTTTTTCCCTTGTGTATGCTGAGGCCTACTGATGCAGAGGCTGCTGTTCCACTAGTTGTCTTTATCTGAATTTGTTGGTGTGTATGGAATAGAAGGGCCAGGTCATCTACTAAGTCCAGATCTTCTAGGTGATTCTGAGCTGTCCATTGTATTGCATGCTTCCCCTCAGATGTCGAGGTCTTCATAATCCAATCGACCACCAGAAGAAAGAGGAAGAGAGAGTAAGCAGCCTTGTCTGACACAGGTCCTCGATTGGAATGCGTCTTTCAACTGTCCACCATGCACAACTTTGCACTGTGGTCTGTCGTATGAATTTTGGATGATGTTGACGATCTTCTCAGGTACACCATAGTGTCGAAGAAGTTTCCACAAAGTCCTCCTATCCACGCTGTCAAAATAGTGAAAGAAGCACTCTCCATTATATCTGCTGTAAAAAAAGTTCCACATCATGCTGTTTGGCAGACAGTTCACCTTACTAACAGACCATAATCCGCTACTGATAGTTTTTGGATCAAAAATGGTATCCCTTTATATACAGCAAACCGTATACAGCGATGTGCAACTACACTGTTGGGCTATGATTTCAAGATAAAGTATCAACCGACAACGGATTTTGGACAGGTAGATGCCCTCTCAAGATTGATTGGTTCGCATGCAAAACAAGAGAAGTTTCTTGTAGCTGCCATAGATGTTGATGTTGAGGTTCACAAAGTTTTGGCAGACGCAGTTTCCGGACTCACGGTCACATTCGAGGCTGACTCAGGTGTTGCTTCGAAAGATATACAAGCAGCTGTGGAAACAGCAGTGACATCTATTAGTGATTTAAACCACAGGGTTACAAAGAACCAATGGATTTCTTCAAGGTCTATTGCACTGATGGGTTCCCGTAAACTCATCCCATCAGACTCTGAACACGATGAAGAGCGAAAACAAATCAGATCTAGATTAAGCAAAAGTATAAGGAACGACCGTGAGCAGTGGTGGGCAACGAAAGCAAAAGAGATGGAAAAGGCGGCGGCTATAGGGAACACAAGACAGCTCTACAGACTAATAAAAGAAACTGGAATTAATAATTCAAGTGTAAGTCAGACTATTTCGGAAAAAGACGACACTCTCATCTGCTCCCAGTCCAGACGTTTAGAACGGTGGGCGGGACATTTTAGAGAACAGTTCAGCTGGCCTTCAGCTACTCTACAACTACCCTCCATTCCCAGAGAGTGTGAATGGAACATTGAAGTAGGTCCCCCAACTGTAGCTGAAGTTCAAGAGGCTATGGTTAATCTGAAACGAGGAAGGGCAGCTGGTCCAGATGGATTAGCTCCAGAGGTCTTTAAGGATGGTGATCTAATTTTAGCAATTAGGTTTACTAACATTTTAGCTAAAATCTGGGAGTTGGACGTTATCCCATCTGACTGGTCACAGTCACTTATCGTCCCAATATATAAGAGAGGGTTAAAATCATCCTGTGACAACCATAGAGGGATTAGTTTAACTAATATAGCATCTAAAATACTAGCCTCGATAATGATCGGACGCCTAACTAAGATTCGTGAACTGCAAACACGAGAAAATCAGGCTGGCTTCAGATCTGGTCGTGGTCGTATCGATCAAATAGTCACCATTCATCAGGTTCTCGAACCCAGGCATACTTATCGGCGTCCGACAATGGTGGTCTTTCTTGACTTAGAAGCGGCATTTGACTCGGTGAAGCGAGAGGTGCTGTGGCAGTGTCTGTCATTGAGAGGTGTACCTCAGAATTACATAAACCTTGTGAAGGCTCTTCACTCGAACACTACTAGTCGAGTCAGAGCTTATGGCGAACTGTCATCTACTTTTGCAACCTCAAGTGGTGTCCGTCAAGGCTGTCCACTTTCTCCATTTCTGTTTAACTTTATCACAGACCTACTGATGGAAATAACATTCTCATCGACTGAATTATCGGGTATTGATCTCCTACCAGGAGGTCCACTTATCGACTTGGAATACGCAGATGATATAGTCCTGTTTGGTGAAGAAGCTGATAAATTGCAGAGTCTTTTAATAGCACTGAGCAACAATGCCAGAATGTTTGGAATGCGCTTCTCCCTCTCTAATTGCAAGTTGTTGCTTCAGGACTGGTATGCGTCAACACCTGAACTAAGGAGTAGTCGAACGCGTTGACAACTTCACTTATCTTGAAAGTCTGATCAACTCTAATGGGTTGGTGTTTGACGAAAGTTGTGCACGGATTCAGAAAGCTCGTTTGGCTTTTGCCAACTTATATCACCTATGGCGAAGGCGAGATATTCGTCTATCAATAAAAGGACAAGTATACTGCGCGGCAGTTTGTTCTGTTCTACTTTACGGCTGCGAAATATGGCCATTAAGATTTGAAGATACTCATAGGCTACATGTGTTTGACCACAGATGCCTTAAAAATAATACCCACATCTGCTGGGATGACCGGGTAAGTAATAGTGAAGTTAAACACTGGGTATCAGGGAATGATGGTAAATCGGTTGATGAGGTTGTTGATATTTATCGACTGAGACGCGTGGGCCACGTGTTGCGTATGCCTGAACACCGATTACCACGACGCGCAATGCTAACCGATATTGGGGATGGTTGGAAGAAAGTCAGGGGCGGTCAAACCAAAACGTGGCATCAGTGCTTGAAGCCACTAACTTCTGTTCTGAGCCATGTTGGTAGAAACAGACTACTTGGTTGGGGTTCGCGTGACTATCGTAACCAATGGTTGGAGACTGTGGGTGACATGGCTCAGAATCGATCACAATGGCGTAGGTGTATACACTCTCTATTTTCCTTTAAACTATGAGATTAAAATCGCTTCATATCTTTCTTTCTACATACTAAATCTTTCTTCCTGTACTATATACTTATATGCAATTTTTCTTTTATATATTACCACTACTTTATGAATTCGGTTTTCATCTTGTTGAGCTAATGAGATATGGCAACGTGGACCGATGCATATATGTGCCTGATCCTACGTTGCAGCTGACTGACTAAATCGTCAACCACAGAATTTCCCTGACCTCTTTTCATTCGCGTTAAGTATCCCAAGCTAGGGCTTGACTTGTGACACGGTTTGATGATTTCCGCAACATATGTCCTATCCACCTACAGAATATTTTCCTAATTTCCCACCTCAACTAGCTTTTTGTTTGTTCTCTGCCATATTCAATTATCGGTGACGATCTCCGAGCAAAGTACATGGAATATCTTGCGTAGAAAGTTTCTTATGAAGATCTGTAATTTTTCGATGATGGTTGTGGTAGTCCCCCACATTCAGGTCCAGTACAATCGAACCATTCTAACGTTGTCTGACTTTAGTCTTGGGTTGCAGCTGTTTGGAGCCCAAGATCTTCGAAGACGGGAGTGGGCAATGTGTCTGCCATCAGTCTTCACTTGGAATTCATCTGTAAGGTGCCTCCATACATGTCTTTGTAATAAAGTCCGTCATAGGAGCTCCGTATGATGGTGATGATGTTCTTGGGCAATCTAATCTTAAGGAAGACTAAGTTATCCATATCATCCAGCAACACTTAAGGTGTCTACTGTATTGCGTGCTTCTCTTAAGCTATGGAAGTCTTCATAATCTAATCAAAAACCTGAAGAAAGAGGAGAGGCGGAAGTGGGAAGTGTTGTCTGACACCAGTCTCCACTTAAAATTCATCTGTGAGGTGCCTCCATACATGACTTTGTAATAGTCCGTCATAGGAGCTCCGTATGATGATGATGATGTTCTCGGGCACTCTATAGTTTCAAGTAAGATTCCACAAGTCTTTCCAGTTTGAACTGTCGCATGCTATTTCACAATTATGGTAGTTGTTGTATGGCGATAAATTTCATTTGGCTGATTGCTCAGCAACGATGTCCTGTGCCGCAATTTGGTCGGTACATGATATATCCTCACGAAATCCGATTCGTTGATTTGAGAGTATGGTGTCTACTGAAACTTTCGTTTGGTCCAGTAACACTCTGTTGATAACTTTGCCTGGAACTGACAGTAGTATGATGTCACTTACTAAGATCTCCTTTCTTCAATGTTTTGATAGGGTATCCCTCTTGAACTTGTCCTCCCGTTCAGAGCTTCCTGAAGAGAATATGTTGCAGTTGCCTCTATACCTGACTTCAGTGCTTCTACCGCTATGCTTTCTGGTCCCTCTACTTTGGCATTCTTGATTTGTCTGATGGCATTGATGTTTTTTATTTCTGGCACAGTAACATTTGTAGGGAGGCCTTTGTGTTATGGGTTGAACGGGACTGGTCTATTCAGGAACTCTTCAAAGTGCTCTACTAGTTTGATCTGCATCTCTCTAACCTCAGTGACTGATTTTTCTTGTTTGTTCCTGACTGGTTGCTCTGGTCTACTACATTTCCTCACTAGCTTCTTGATTGTATCATATGGTTGCTTGACATGTCCCTTCCTTCTAGTTTGTTTTATTGTATTTGCTAGGTCTTTTACATATTTCAACTTGGTGCTTTTCTTCACTCACTTGTTCGCTTCTGTGCATTTGGTCTTGTTCGATTGTTGCCTTGTTGACCTACATTACCTGAATCTCCCCCAAACTGTCTACAGAGATCCGTTGTTTATCCTAGTGCTTCTTGGGATCTGGGATGTTGAAGTTACTATTTCTTTTATTCTCTTTCACTTTTTCTGCTTCGTGGTTTCTTCTAGTAAATCCACATGTATTTCCTGTAGTATGAAGTTAGATCATCTCTCTTTATTATTGTCCCTCATATGAACCTTATTTATACATATGTGATTAATTTGGTGTACTGTGTGGAGGATTGTTTAGACGCGAGGGGCTTTGCGTATGCGTTTATTGAGGAAATGCCGTTACCTATGACCATGCTGCTGAAAGTACATAGATTTGTCAGTCTTCCAACATTCTCCCTTCTTTATCCTAGTCCATGTCTCCCCACGATGGTTTCTTCCCTGGTGTTTTCAGTCCCAACATTAGAATTTACATCCCTCATCAGGATGGTCAGGTATTTTTCTGTTGAATTTCCTAGCATGGATTTAAACCTTTCACAAAATTACGACTACTTATGTTCAAGTGGGATGTCACAAACCACTGGTATTATTATTATTATTCATAATCAAAATGTAACCACATCTCTTCTGACGTTGATATCTTATGCTTAAATGTGTCTAAAAAGTTGTACTTACTGTAACCGTAACTGTAATGTATCATTTAATTTACAGATTTTAAGTTTATTAATCAGTTCACTGTGGTAGTTGTTTTTATGGCGGAATTATTAATACGATACTTATATTCAACGCTCATTTACCTCAGTAATCCTAAAGAGATTCCAGGAGTTCGTCATAGTCATAAAAGTTTTGGAAAGCTTGTATTAAGATTATTTGTAATTTGATGTCGTAATGAATATGTGAAATTACGTATATTTATTCAGATTAATTGGTTCAGATTCTGATACTTCACTTCAAGTCACAATCTAGGTCGGACTGATAGTTTGCCCTTTTCGGTTCCCCAGACTAAAGAATGTGGCGTAGGTTTCAAACCAGCCGTTTACTGGCTAAAAATCGAATGTCTGAACCATCACTTCACAACGTAATATTGAATTAAGCAAATATTATCATTATTTTCATTACTACATTTCTTTACCTACATCTGGTAGTCCATAAAAAAATCCAAACATTGATAAATCACTTCTTTATCGCCTCTGTAGTAGTGTTTTTATGTTAACATTTATTCTTACCTCTTGTTTACTTCATTCAGCTAGCTATATGTCTGCCTCCAAATCAGATTATTTTCTGATTTTTCAACCTTTAGTTCAATTATCATAGCCCTGATTACCATATATTATTAGAGATTTAAGGAAAACAACTTTCCATATATTTTATATAAATTAGGCTAATCAAACCCACTTCATATACTGTAGTACGATTCGTAAGTTACAAAATTAAACCACGAATGCTTCTCTGCACATGTAAGTAAGAATCATTTCACTTTATTAATACAAGTTAAATTAGAAACATGATCACTATAATACCAGTTCACGGTCTAAAAGTTGTATTATTTGTATGGGCTGGTTAAACACTACTCATCATGATCATATTGTTAGCAGCTGTATCTATCATGACATTTTGAGGCTTCATTCAAAAATTGAAAAATGGGTTGTTTTCACGCTTTACTTGATCTTTGAGTAGATTACCATGTTAACATATTACGTAAGATTAGATTTTCGTCTGTGATGAGTCTTTTCAATAATTGTTCGAATCCATTTTTGAGTCCTGTTAAAATGTCGACTTTAATATGCTGTAAAAACTAAGTTTGTTTTTCTGGTTTAATTTCATACTTTTATGTATCAAAGCAATGTTGTTTCGAACAGTTTTTCTCAAATTTCAGATTGTACTGTCTTACACAACTGGAGGACAACATTCAAGTTTTCTCTATTTAACAAGCGTGCTAGTTGATGAATTCGGAGAACAATTAGATTGCAGAGTTGGTTTGGTTAACGTGTATGAGGTAATTTTTAAATTGAAAAAAATTTACATAATTTTCATTGGCAACTTCAATTTCGGCACAAACGATCAAAATAAGGTGTCGTAAAATAGTTCATTAGATAAATGAGCATTGTAAAAAAAATTAACACAAGCATAATAGTGTTCAGCAATAAATTACAAATATCTAAATTTTTCTTATCCAGTTTCAGTACAACTAAATCCAACGATCAGTTTGTATGAATTTTAGTTTTGTATCCGTCATATGTTCGGGTTTCAAGCCCTTGTAGTAACATCCATTTATGCTAAAAAAAGATTTATTACTCTTGACAATTGCTCATTTTCACCAAACCAAAGTGGTAATTTATTTCCTATTTCGAAAATAATCACCTCAATAGATGTTCTGAATATTGCATACCTACTGCATTGTGCGAAGATTTGTAAATATTTCCCCCAAATGCCCTGGTATGGCCGAGAGTGGGGAGAGTCCGCTCTCCCTCTCGAAATACTCTCACACGGCCACGCGTATACAGCCGCTGCCAGGGAAGTCCTACTCATTGCCTTCGTGTTGTTTACGAAAATGAGAGGACAAAAAGCTAATGTCCGGCGCTTTAACCGGATCCAAAACCGATGGTGCACATGGGCTCCAGTATCCTGAGGGAACAAATGGCGTATAAACCAATCTTTGGTCACCGGCTACCATGCGTCTGTATCTCCTTACGATGCTCCACTGCCTTGTGGGTTAGACCTTTAGGTCAAAGGCTCGGGGTGTGGCCCCCTAAGAAAACCACCTGCTTCGGTCTGGGCATCCGGGCAGTATCGCAGCCCACACGCAAATGATGAACTCTCTATATCTATGGACACTACTTTTCTCGCTTCGAACAACAATCAAATTATTATTATTTACCACATTATTCACCATCTTTTATACTTATACAGCGGCTCGTCTTTGGTGGAAATTCGACTGTATCTAAACGTTCTCGAGTCACTGCCTGATTAAAAATTGTATGATACCACTAAATACAAACACTGAAGCAGTTTTTCTGAAACCACTTGCACCATTCAATCTAGCTGCCTTCAACGTTCGCACACTTATACAGGTTGGACAACAGATAGAGCTGGCTATGTCTTTGGAAAGTCTTAATATCGATGTCTGCTGTCTATCCGAGACCCGTATTCAAGACTTTGGTGAAGTAATACAAATTCGCTCATCTGTCGCTTCGAAAAGCTTGTTTTACCTGCGCTTATCCAGGGACGCTGTGGCATCTTCGTCTGGTCTTGCTGGCGTTGGTGTCGCACTAAGCGCTAGAGCTGAGGCAGAACTAATCGATTGGATTCCCATTAACAGTCGGTTATGTGCTGTTAGATTAGAAAGTTTCATCAAAGTAAGAAGAATTCGGTGTAAGAAAAGATGTTTTTCTTTAGTCTCTGCCTATCTCACGACAGATTACAACCGGAATGCAATCAAGGATGAAGTTTACCACCAGTTAAATGATCTCCGGAAAGCTCCTTCGACAGATATTGTAGTACTAGCCGGAGACTTGAATGCTCATGTCGGGCGTCTAGGCACAGAAGAGAGTCGTTTAGGTGGCCGATGGGGACTCGTTGGTCACAGGTCAGATAACGGGGACCGTCTACTGCAACTTTGCACAGACCACAACCTGTTTTTTGGCTAGCACTAACTTTCGGCACAGTCATCGCCGATGTGCCACCTGGCGTCCTCCCTCTGCATCTCAAGCCTGGACTCAGATTGATCACATCGCGATCAGCTACCGCTGGCGTGGTTGTGTACGAGACTGCCGCTTCTTTTGGAGTACCTATCTGGACTCTGACCATGCCTTGGTCTGCGCCAATCTCGCCTTACTTTTCAGTGGCCAACGAAGTGATCGCCACCAACGGATTGATGTTAGCAAGCCGGTTGTAACTTCTGTTGCAAGTAAGTATCGATCCGAGCTAGTTTCTAGGCTAGCTACCGTTCCACCGAAAAGTATAGATGAGCATTGGTTGCAATTGCATGATGCCATGAAAATGGCGGGTACAGCCAGTTGTGGGTTCGCGAAACGTCCCGCTTATAAGCACTGGGTTTCTTCAGGTTCCTTACAACTCATTGAAGCCCGTCGGTCTACTCCGGGTGACCGTGAGTTTGACCACAAACGAAGGACGGTACGTAAGGAAATTGGGCAAAGCTTGCGTAAGGACCGACAAGCCTGGTGGTCGGAGCGTGCTAATGAGCTGGAGGCAGCAGCTGCATCTGGTAATTACCGGAAGCTCTTCCAACTCATCCGTGCCACTGGCAGCAAGAATTCTGGTGTGAGCGAAACAATCTGTGAGGATGACGGGATGCCAATCAATAACATTCATCGACGTCTTGGACGATGGGCAGAATTCTTCGAAGGGCAGTTCAACTGGCCGGCTGCTCCGGCAACATCGGTCAGACTGTCCTGCCCTCCATGGCCGGTAACGACTGATCCACCAAATGAGGCGGAAGTCCGCAAGGAACTCCAACTCTTGAAGCGTTACAAATCACCTGGCCCAGATGATTTACTTCCGGCTCTTTTTAAAGATGGTGGTGACTTTTTGACTAAAGAATTGACGACGTTGTTTACAAAGTTTTGGGAACTAGAGAGTGTACCAACGTCATGGAATGAGTCGATAGTTATTCCTATCTTTAAAAAGGGTTCACATCGTTCCTGTAACAACTATAGAGTGATAGGTCTACTTCTAATTGAATCCGAGCTATCGGCTTCCGTCATACTTCGTAGGTTTTTCAAAACCCGAGAAAGATTGACTCGCGAGGAGCAGGCTGGGTTTCGTTCTGGTCGAGGGTGTATTGATCATATCTTGACCGTCCGCCAAACGTTAGAACACCGCCATACTTATCAAAGGCCAACAATTGTGGTGTTTGTTGACATCAGGACTGCCTTCGATTCTTTGGACAGGACTGTTATCTGGGATTTTCTATTGAAGAAGGGTGTGCCTGAGAAGTTTATTAACATCTTAAAAGCCTCATATACAAACACCTCAGGAAGAGTGAAGGCATACGACCACCTGGGTAGCTGCATAAGTGCTGGTGGTGGCGTGAGTGATGAAATCAATGCACGTATAATGAAAGCCAGGGCAGCTTAAGCCAATCTGGGTCATCTTTGACGCCTTCGTGATGTCAGTCTGGCTGTAAAAGGTCGGATCTACAACGCGTCGGTGAGATCAGTTTTGCTCTATGCTTGTGAAACCTGGCCTCCTCGAGTTGAGGATGTTAGACGACTCTCTGTGTTTAATCATCGTCGTCTCCCAAGGATTGCTGCCATCCAATGGCAACATCATGTTAGTAATGCAGAGGTTCGGCATCGTGTGTTCGGGCACAGAGACGATAATTCAATTGGTGTCACTATCTTGAGATATCGACTTTGGTAGCTTGGACATGTTCTACGAATGTTGTCCCGGAGGATCCCTCGTCGTGCATTATTTGTCGACTCTGGGACTGGTTGGAAGAAGTGGAGAGGTAGTCAGTGTATGACATGGTGTCGTGGTATGAAAGTTGCAAAGGGCTGGCTTGTGTTGGTCCTTCACGACTCCCTGGCTGGCGTCCTAGAGATGGTGCAACACAGTGTCTAGAGACGTTATCAGATATGGCTCAGAATAGAAGCCTGTGGCGATCCTGCTGTAACCTTTTACTCTCTTCATAAAAAGTGGTTGTGTCTCCCTTAACTGAAAGAATTCTTCTGATTGTACCTTTCCCACTCATTATTACTATTATTATTACTGCACTATCTTACACCAACCTCTTCGTTATTGTTCTCTTTTTTTTCACACTCCTTACCTTTTTTTCTTTCTCTTCAAATTCTCATTGTTTTGTGTGGCGCATATATATTGGCGCTCTCTTGTACCAATATTTGTGTTCAAATAAATAAATATAATAAATAATAAATTTTTCCCAGATGTAGAACTTTGGTTGTAAAAGTTGACTTGAACGTATTACTGATGTTATCCGGTCATCGTCATATGTAATATCGATGTTGGAAATTTCCTGATTTCAGCACATTTTAGACCTAAATTTTACAAGTAGCTAATTAATTCCACGGTCATGTATAACTAAAATGTATTTTGTTAAAACCCTGTTAAGCAGGGATGAATAGTGTCTAGTAGTGTGGTCCGGTAGGTGCGTTTCATCCTATTTGTGACTTGTCAGGATTGATTTTCATTCCTAGACTCGGGCTCAGTACCGTTCGCTTCGATTGCCTTCGCATTATCTACTTAGGTACTGATTCCAGTCCATCTCTACTTATAATGCTTGTGACTTAATGGCAACATCGAGGCAATCCGCACAGGATGCACATATACCAAAAGAAACCGATCGATTTCGGTCATAAACATCAATGAGCAGACTCAAACAACCAATACAAATGAATGAAAACCCTTCGTCCAACATTTACCATTTTTATTGTGTTATTTTTGGAACATATTTCCTTAATTTTGTTGTACCCTATTTCATATAGCTGCGTTATGATTACTTAGTTAATCATCTAGATTACACGAGTCTTTATCAGAGTAAAATGAGTTGTTTGAGGAAAAATATTGTCTTATCCTTCGAATAAGATTCGCCAGGTACTAGGGGATTTAGTTTGAGTTAAATCCTCAAACATTCGTTTACTTTCTAGTTATTTCAAAGGTATTTAGTGTGTTTATTTTGCGAAACGTTATTGAAATATGGCTTGTTTGTTTATTTGATTTGATTTTCTTCATCTATTTAGTTAATCAAGATGAATTACTCTGGTCATTATTCTTACTCTTGAAAGTATTTTCAAACAAATTTGTTTATGAATTTCTTACGAGACTTCAAGAATTCGCTTTTGCACTGTACTTGGATATTGTTTAGTAATGTGTAAAGTATGACACAATTTAATTTGTTTACAATAGTTTTACAGGCTTATAATGAATGTGATATTTATTTAAGAGTATATTTATCTGTATTATTTGTGCCTATCGATTGTAAAATGCATATACTATTTTATCCTGAAGTTTTAAATCTTTGTTTAAAATGTCCACCATTTTGCAGGCATTGAGTGGTCCAACACTGAAATCTATCTCTGGTTCTGGCCTTATACAACAACCGCATACTGTGGAAGATCTATTTCGGTTATGCACCCGACTTGTACAACACTGTGCAGCTGTTTTTCTCACCAGTAGCAGGATCAATTTGAATGAACTCTGCGATACCGCTGTCTCTTCTCTAAATCTGTGTTGTTCCGGCCCTGGTGCTGGTTCGTCTAGTGATGATACACCGGATCCAAACTCATCTAATAATGATGAATCGAGTTCATCGTCAGCTTCTACCAGCGCATCAGCTGCAGCTGCTCGATTTTTCATCGAACTTATCATTTTTACGAACGAGGCATGTGAGGAGACACCAATGCAGGTTGTACAGATTTTGGAGTCTGGTAGACATCTTCCTACTCCCTCTTGTCAGTCAGCTCTAGCTGCTCAAAATGTTATTGTGTGGTTAACTTACTCCAGGCCTACGCAGCCTACTGATCCTAGTAATATGAATAGTTGTTGCGGCGGACAACGGTTAGTTTCAGCATTATTGCAAGCATGTTGTCTTGGATTAATGGATGAAAGGTTTCCCGAGATGGCGGATATTTTATATCATCTTAAGGTCATGATTAATCAAGAAGTAAGTATCTATTTTTGGTAGAGCTTCTATGTTTTGTCTTATTCGATACATAGCATAGTTTTTGCAAGTTAAATCAGTACCTTAAAGTTCTTGTCATTTTGAACTCATTGGTTCTCTCCAACGAATTTTTTCTCTTTATTATGCGTGTTTACTACGGTGTCTTGAAGAATGAACTCAGTGCTTCAATATGACTACATCTGAACATCGTTAAGTCTACCTAACTATTTAATTTACCCATCCTCATCCAAGTTTGGTTTCGTTGAATTTGTTATTTCTGATCCCCACGTGCATACTAGATAATCACGAAAGCTAATGCTAAAATTATTGAAAAACGTAATTAAATAAAAACAAAAGAAAGGTAAATAATCGGCAAACATCATGTATAGTTGTTTAATTCTTCTATTGGGAAATGTCCCTGTTGAAATTTAGTGAGTATTATGAATTTATAGTTAACGGACTTATTTTAGCATCTTCTTTCTTAGGTTTTGCTTGTTGAACGATGCATTTGGTTTTTACTTTGTCAAATCTTTCAAATTATGCGATCTTAACAAAAGACCAACCAGGAATAAGTCAGTTCTAAAAAAGTTGATCACAATTCAGTATTTCCAATTCCAATGCTATATTTCCATATCCGTATTTATATATAGATGTTTCTTAACTGGCTGAAGAACGCAGTAGCCAATTTGTCAACTATGCGTACTGATGGTTTAGTCCAAGCTACACAAGACCAAATTACCGATTTTCAAGATGTTGTTATGAAGTGAGTCTACTTGTGTAAACAATTTTCAATCCTAGTTCTACAATTTTGGTTTTTTTCCTACTCATTGTTGTTTATATTCATACATATAATAACGGTTAGTGTAATACTTTTTATCAAACTAAAATTAATATTCCCTTCTTAAATTATCTCGTATAAAATGCACTGTATTAGCTCATTTTACATCAGTATGTATCGTAATTGTCCGTGTATGTAAAATTGCGAATGTTTCCCATTTCATTACTGTGCGAACTAACCTTTTAAATCTTATTAACTGCTTCTCACTTGTTTCGTATTTCTGAGGTACGCCATTCAATGACAGACACTGCCACAGCACCTCTCGCTTCACCGAGTCAAATGCCGCTTCTAAGTCAAGAAAGACCACCATTGTCGGACGCCGATAAGTATGCCTGGGTTCGAGAACCTGATGAATGGTGACTATTTGATCGATACGACCACGACCAGATCTGAAGCCAGCCTGATTTTCTCGTGTTTGCAGTTCACGAATCTTAGTTAGGCGTCCGATCATTATCGAGGCTAGTATTTTAGATGCTATATTAGTTAAACTAATCCCTCTATGGTTGTCACAGGATGATTTTAACCCTCTCTTATATATTGGGACGATAAGTGACTGTGACCAGTCAGATGGGATAACGTCCAACTCCCAGATTTTAGCTAAAATGTTAGTAAACCTAATTGCTAAAATTAGATCACCATCCTTAAAGACATCTGGAGCTAATCCATCTGGACCAGCTGCCCTTCCTCGTTTCAGATTAACCATAGCCTCTTGAACTTCAGCTACAGTTGGGGGACCTACTTCAATGTTCCATTCACACTCTCTGGGAATGGAGGGTAGTTGTAGAGTAGCTGAAGGCCAGCTGAACTGTTCTCTAAAATGTCCCGCCCACCGTTCTAAACGTCTGGACTGGGAGCAGATGAGAGTGTCGTCTTTTTCCGAAATAGTCTGACTTACACTTGAATTATTAATTCCAGTTTCTTTTATTAGTCTGTAGAGCTGTCTTGTGTTCCCTATAGCCGCCGCCTTTTCCATCTCTTTTGCTTTCGTTGCCCACCACTGCTCACGGTCGTTCCTTATACTTTTGCTTAATCTAGATCTGATTTGTTTTCGCTCTTCATCGTGTTCAGAGTCTGATGGGATGAGTTTACGGGAACCCATCAGTGCAATAGACCTTGAAGAAATCCATTGGTTCTTTGTAACCCTGTGGTTTAAATCACTAATAGATGTCACTGCTGTTTCCACAGCTGCTTGTATATCTTTCGAAGCAACACCTGAGTCAGCCTCGAATGTGACCGTGAGTCCGGAAACTGCGTCTGCCAAAACTTTGTGAACCTCAACATCAACATCTATGGCAGCTACAAGAACCTCCTCTTGATTGAGACCAACGAATTGACTGAACATTGGCAAAATAGAATTTGAACCAACATCCACTAAGTACAACGAACACAAGCAAATCGCAACAGGAGCCAGCTATCCTATAGCACAAAACTGGGTATCTAAAGTATTGGTTGTAGATATACTTAGTGTTTACGAACAGTAAACATCCATGTGTATTGACATAAACTGAAGCCGAATTCACTGATGGATATGAGACAACATACTGAAAGTGACCATTTCTTCCAAAAAGATGACTAGAATGAAACGTTTTAGCAATGACTTGATAGATAATCTTAATTAGTAATAGTATAGTAGAGTTTTAGCATATTCACTATTAGATTTATACTATTTAAGATATAGAGAATGAAAGTGGACATTAATTCATGTGCACACTAGACCAAAAACGGGATTGTAGTAAGCCCATTCAACCACTTTATTATTTGTTTACTCACTGTAATCTAGACATTTAATCCACTATGTAAAATTATGTGTGAGTCTGATTGAGCGCATGTCTGCACGTCAATATTCGTATGTTTTCCTATCGGTTGTAACACACACAAACTCACTGGTTTCTCTATGTGCTTCCATTCTGAGCGCTTACGGGTTTTTACTAATGATTAATAATAAACTTTATCTACAACAGGTGTTCTGGCTTTTGAATAATACTACTACCCGACTGCTACCTTGACGTGGTGGTCGGGCGCGCCTATTGTGATGACCCAACCGAGCTATATTGGCTGGAATATATGTTCCTGTAGGTTCTATCATGCCAGGGTCGATTGGAGAACGGTAAGACCAAAAGCAGCAACTCAAGGTCTGAGGGCGAAGTCGTACTGCTGACTGTAGAGGGGTGTGACAGCAGTAAGGTGTTTCACACGGACAACCAACATCTACAGCGATGCTGCCTTCTCACAAGGAAGGAAGTGGTTAATAAAGGTCGACCCTAAAAAGGTCACACCTCACCTTACCTCACGGATTTCTGTCTCCGGCGGTAAGGCCTTTTGAAGAACGGAGCTAACACCTTAAAAACCTTCCACAAAAAAGCCGTGCGTCTCCGAAACGCACATACAGCATCCAAGTAGCGTCATTCATTTGACCTCACCATATCAAAATACAGAACCAACTCGATTTACACTTCGTGTATCTGAAAACCCTGATGCTGCTTCCCGTGGCCTCGCTGGCGTAGGTATAGCATTGAGTCACAGAGCAGAACTAGCTCTCTTAAACTGGATCCCAGTAGACAGTCGTTTGTGCGCTGTCCGACTAAACGGAACAGTAAGAACTCGGAAAGATAAGGAGACTCTTCGTCGTCTCTGCCTACTTTCCAACTGACTGCAGCTCAGATGATGTAAAAGATGAGTTTTACAGAAAGCTTTCCGACCTTCTCCGAAAAGCTAGGCGCTCTGATGTAGTTACAGTGACTGGTGACCAAAGCTCAAGTAGGTAAACTAAGCGAAAAAGAATGATACCTGGGTGGATCTTATGGTGTCGTGGCTCAAAGAACAGATAATGGCGACCGTCTGTTGCAGTTATGCATAGATAACCGCCTGTTTCTTGCAAATACTAACTTCAAGCATAAGGAAAATCATCTTTTGACATGGCGACCCCCTAATTCGTCCCAACGTTGGACCCAAATAGATCACATCGCTACCAGCTACCAATGGAGGGGCTCGATAGAAGACTGTCGCTCATTCTGGAGCACATGCTTAGATTCAGATCATGCTCTAGAACGAGTGCGTATCTGTCTACGTCCTACTGGGCGTAGAAAAGACGCTTCAAGGAAACCTCTTAGTGTCCTACTTATTGATAACCAAGCTAAGAATACGTTTCAGGAACAACAAGAAAAACAATTAGGCAGCCATGTAGGTGATGCCCACCCCGAGGTAGTGTGGAATGATATCTGAAAAGCTGTGGAAACAGCAGTGATATCTGCTAGTAAGGTAAACCATAAGGTTAGGGAGAAACACTGGATCTCAGCAGCATCTATCGCACCAATAAATGCTCGGAAACTCATTCCACCTGACTCTGAACATAGTGAAGAGCGGAGTCAGCTTTAGCGCAAGCTGACAAGAAGTCTGCGCAATGATCGCGAACAGTGGTGGGTAGCAAAAGCAAGAGAGATGGAAAAGGCAGCGGCAATAGGTAATAGCAGACAATTGTTCAGACGTGTTAAGGAAACCGACTGTTAGCGAAACACTCTCACAGAAAGATGGATATGTTATACATTCTCAATCCAGGAGATTGGATCGATGGGCAGAACACTTTAGTGATCAGTTCAACTGGCCTTCAGCCACACTTCGGTTTCCCACGATCTCCAGTCAACCTGAATGGCAAGTTAGTGTAGGTCCTCCGACTCTTTATGAAGTTGAAAAAGCTATAGGAAATCTGAAGGGTGGGAGAGCAGCAGGCCCTGACAGGTTTACCCCTGAGATTCTTAAGGATGGTGGTCCAGTATTAGCAGTGAGATTAACTGAGGTCTTAGGTAGAATCTAGGAACTGGACATAATCCCATCTGACTGGTCTCAATCACTGATTGTGCCAGTCTATAAGAAAGGACAAAAGTCCTCTTGTGACAATCACAGAGGAATCAGTTTAACTAATATAGTGTCTAAAATATTAGCTTCAATAATACTTCGACGCCTAACTAAAGCTCGTGAAGAGCAAACTAGAGTAAACCAGGTCGGTTTTCGACCTGGACGTGGTTGTATAGATCAGATATTCACACTACGTCAGGTTCTAGAACACAGACACACATTCAGACGCCCCACAATGGTAGTATTTCTCGACCTTAAGACGGCATTCGACTCTGTTGATCGTGAGGTTCTATGGTAGTGTTTGTTACTGAAAGGAGTACCAAAGAAGTACATTAACCTCGTACAGACTCCATACTCGAACACAATTGACCGAGTGAGAGCTTATGGCGAACTGTCATCAGAATTGATTACATCAAGTGGTGTTCGTCAGGGCTGTTCACTCGCTCCATTTTTATTTAACTTTGTCGTTGACATGCTTTTAGAGATAACACTTTGCTCATCTAAATTTCCAGGGGTTGAACTTCTACCGGGAGATTCACTTGTTGACTTAGAATATGCTGATGACATAGTTTTATTTGGTGAAGACGCTGACAAAATGCAGAGTCTTCTGACCAACTTGTGTCATTTATGACGTAGGCGAGATATCCGTCTATCAACCAAAGGACGTGTTTACTGCGCAGCAGTTCGTCCCGTCCTACTGTATGGCAGTGAAAGATGGACGGTAAGAGTAGAGGATATTCGTAGGTTACTAGTATTCGATCATAGGTGTCTTCGAAACATTGCTCGTATATCATGGGATCATCGAGTAAGTAACACAGTTGTTGGGAAACGGGTACTAAGTAAGGATGGCAAATCAATTGATGAAGTGGTGAAACTTCATCAGTTGAGATGGCTGGGACACGTGTTACGTATGCCCATCCGCCGACTGCCTCGACGAGCGATGTTTAATGGTATAAGAGTAGGTTGGAAGAAAGCTAGGGGTGGCCAGACCAAAACATGGCACAAATCCATGAAGTCACTGACAAGTGGACTGAGCCATGTTGGTAGGTGTAGACTACCTGGTTGGGGACCACGAGATGATAGAAGCCGATGGTTAGAGACCCTGAATGACATGGCTCAAAATCGTTTGCAATGGCGCAGGTGCGTCCATTCTTTATGTTCTACCAAATTCTAATCTTCTGAATTCTTCATGTCCCGCTCTTTTCTCTTTCCAAATTTATTTCACTGTATTATACTTCTTGAATAACATCTTTAAACCCTAATCTTCCCGATTACTGCTTATACTCTTACCTCCTCTATCACTACGGGATTTGAATCGACAACTGCATCTCTGTACTAATGTGGTATGGCAACTTGAACTGATGTACGAACCTACGAAGTTCTACGTTGTTACTGACTGACTGACTGATTTACCTGTCCAGAATCCGTTGTCGGTTGATAGTTTATCTTGAAATCATAGCCCAACAGTGTAGTTGCACATCGCTGTAGACGGTTTGCTGTTTATAAAGTGATACCTTTTTTGGATCCAAAAACTATCAGTAGCGGTTTATTGTCTGTTAGTAAGGTGAACTGTCTGCCAAACAGCATGTGGAACTTTTTTACAGCAAATATAATGGAGAGGGCTTCTTTCTCTATCTGACTGTAGTTCCTTTCAGTCATAGTCGGCCATCTTGCAGCGTGGGCGGTCGCCTTCTCAGACCCGTCAGGGTTGGTATGTGAAATTACTGCTCTTATTCCGTAGTTTGACGCATCTTCTGCTACTATAATTGGAAGATCTGGATCATAGTGTGTAAGTAGATGGTTTGATGATATGAGCTGCTTTAGTTTCAGGAATGCTTCCTGGCATTCAGTTGACCAGAACCATTTAGTATCCTTTTTCAATGAGCTATTAAGAGGAGCACGAAGGCGATGCAGATCTGGAAGAAAACCGCCATAATGACTAACCATTCCCAAGAAAGAACGTAAAGTTGATACATCCGTCGGTGGGGGCATGGACTTGATAGTGTCGACGTTTTCAGGATCAGGTTTTCTTCCGTTTTTATCGATTATGGATCCCAAATAACGGACTTGCTCCATATAAAAATGACATTTTCAGCACGTAATCTGAACCCATAATCTGCTATGCGCCTGAGAACCGTGTCCACCTTATTCTCTAAGTCAGCATAGTCTCTACCCATGATCAGTATGTCATCGAGATAGGCTGTGGTACCAAGAATATCTTGTAACATAGTATCCATAGCTTGTTAGAAGATTGAAGGGGTGGTCTTTACTCCAAAAGGAAGTCTGTTATATCAGAACAACCGTTAATGAGTGTTTATTGTCAAGTATTGCTTACACTCTTCCGCTACTGGAATATGTAGATAAGCTTCTGATAGGTCTAATTTTGCAAAATACTTACCCCCATTCAGTTTCGCAAATAAATCCTCTGGTACCGGCAAAGGGTATTGATGGACTTCAATTGCTTCGTTTAATCCAGTCGAATAATCTGCGCACAGCCGGATACTTCCATTTGACATTTTGACAATCACTATTGGTGCTGCCCAATCAGAAAAGTTTACTGGTTCTATCATTCCACTTCTTTGCAGACGCTCTAATTCTTGTTCAACGATAGGCAGCGCTGTATAGGGTACCGGACGTTTTGTTCTGAAGACGGGGGTGACTCCCGGTTTAAGAATCAGTAGTACTCTTACCTTTTCGCACTCCCCCAGCTCTTCCGTAAACACTTGACTATGTCTTTCCAACACAACACACTTCAGATCCTTTTCCACTAGTTTATTGGTTCTCATGGCGCTGCATATGTGGTTAATGGAGTGATTTGCTAATTGTAGTGTTTCTGTCAGGTCTAGACCTAGCAAATTTAGTTCTGGGTTCTCTGTGAGATATAACGTTGCATCCGTCTTCGCGTTTCCGTTTGAAACTGTACAACAAACCTCTCCAACAATATTTAATTTCCCTCCAGATGCACTATGAACTAACTGGGTTGTTGGGAGCGTCTGTGGTTTTCCGATAAGATTCCAGGTTCTTCGACTAATAAGTGTGCTATCGGAATCAGTGTCGAGCTGCAGGCGGGCGCGCTTTTTATTTATATCTAGGTTTACATACTTTCGTTGGCGGTAAATTTTTGCAGGACTATGTGATACCAATATTTTGTTGGTTAGAGCAGTATATCTGTATTTCTTGGAGTATGGTTTCTTTATGGCCTTTCCGATGACATTTGCTACAACACTGTTCTTTATATGGGCAGAACCTGTTATAATGCCAACCTCCACATAACCAACATGGAGATGAGGACTGATTATCTGTGTGTGATAATTTTCTTGAACAGGAATTTTTCTTTCCGCTTACAGCATGAAAGTATGGCAACTGGCCATTATTTTCGACGTTTTAAGTTTACCAATCTCTGGCACTCTGTGGTTACGTCCTGTAGTGTTATATTCGGACATTGTTCAATTTTACTCAGAATTCTGGTCCTAATATCAGCATCTTTGGGAGATTGGAGGCTGCACACGAACACGAGACACTTAAACTGATCTTCTGTCATTGCTGATAGTTTGAAGCGCTCACATTCACGGTTTACTAACCCCTCATGCTTCACCCAGTCATCATCACCTGCTTTTGTTATATTGAGACATTGATAACGAATATTAAAGAAGGATGACTGTTCAGCAAAGATTTGCGACAAAATTTCAATCGTTATACAATAAACAGGGCACACAGGTTCACAAGTTATAACACAGCTGCTTGTATATCTTTCAAAGCATTATCTGGGTCCGTCTCGTTTTCAGAACTACCTAAGTGTGACCTCAGTTGTTCCTAGAGCCTACTTTTAGTTTTCTCTTTACTTGGTTCAATTCTAATGGGTCTTTTTAGTGTAGCTTTTCTGTGTTCAGTGAGGCGCAAGCAGATGCGTGTCCGTATTAGAGCATAGTCTGAGTCCAGGCAGGTACTTCAGAATGAGCGACAATCTTCTGTCGACCATCTCCAACGATGACTGATGGCAATATGGTCTATTTGAGTCCATCGTTGGCTTGGTGCAGGGGGTCGCCATGTTAGACGATGTCTCTACTTATGCTTAAAATTAGTGTTTGCTAAAAATAAACGTTTGTCTGACCACAGTTATAGCAGACGATCACCATTATCGGTTCGCTGTGCAGGAATACCAGAATACCCACCTAAATGCCTTTCTGTTTGGTTTAAGCAACCTACTTGGGCATTAAAGTCGCCTTCTACGAGTACTATGTCTGAACGTTTAGCTTTCTGTAAAATTCATCTTTCACTTCATCCGAGCTGCAGTCAGTGAGAGCGTAGGCAGAAATGACGAAAAGGTAACGACGTGTGTCCCTATCCTTCCGACTTCTTACGGAGCCGTTTAGCCTAACAGCACTTAGATGTTGTTAACGGGGATCCACGTTTATAGTGCTTGTTCTGCCCTCGTGCTTAGCGCTATGCCTACACCTGTCAGTCCACGAAAACTAGCCATCGGGTCGCCAGATACACGGAGGGTGTATCTCGTCGGCTCTCCGTTTTGCCGAGGTGAGGTCAAGTGAATGACTACACTAGGATCCCGTATACGTGTTTCGGAGACAGCATACATCAATGGTACGAGATTCTGGAGTTTTTATACAAGGAGGCGTGCTGACCGATTTGACATAGTGTGCGTACGTTGAAGACTGCAATGTGTAGCTTGGAGCGAGGTTTCAGTAGACCTGGGACAGTGTTTTGAGCATTAGAATCGTTGGCTATGGTGACACTTGAGTAGGAAGCCGAAAGAGGAAGTTTAAAGTTGAAAGTCAATGTAGGGGGAATAATAGGAATTCAAGAGGTAGGTTGATTATGAATACAGTAGTCCTGAGTGTTGTTAGAGGTATGAGGGCGTTTATCACTTCCCCGTTGCCCATACCGTAGAAGGGTTCTTCTGGTGGTACCTGAAAGGGAAATTGGATTAGAGGTGGTCATATTGACCTGAGAGCGTGACTGCAGTGCCCAAGGGACAGCTGCTTGAGGTCGGTCACACACGACCTTTTTGTGGGTAATTTTCGTGTTAGCTCCGTACTTGTTGAGACCTTACCGCCGGAGACGGATATCCGTGGTATAAAGTGAGGGGTGACATTTTCAGGATCGACCTTCCCTAACCCCACCCCTCCTTGTGGGAAGGCAGCATCGTTGTCATGCTGGTTGTCTGAAGGAAACACCTCACTGCCGTCACACCTCTTTATAGTCAGCAATACGACTTCGCCTTCGGTTTGTTGCTTTTAGTCTTACCGCTCTTCAACTGACCTGTCTAGCATGGTAGGACCTTGAGGAACGGTTGTTCCAGCCAGTATAGCTCGGTTGCTTCATCACGATGCGCACGCCTGACTACCACTTCAAGGTAGCAACAACGGCCGGGCTTGACGTTTTTGACCTATTTCATGTACGCCCAGAAAGATTTGGTTTTCTTTTGTAATCTCCAGTATGGATTATCATGAAGAGAATTTATTGTAAGGAAGATTCCTAGTTCATATATTAGTTTTATTCTGTAAAATATTCTCGTCTGTGATACTAATATTCAGATACGCAGAGGTTTTTGAATGTTAACAGATAGTTAGGTAGTATCTAATAGACTGATGAGATGCAATTCTGATTAGTAAGTATTTATACGGGTTGGATTATCGTTTCTTTAAGACAAATTTGCGCTTGACAAGTAAAACTTTTCAACAAAGATATTTAAATTAGTTGGCTTAAATAACAAATCCAACTGCATTCTTTCAACTCCCTACATATAACTGAATGGATATTATATATATAATATTTAATGCGCTGCTGAAAGCCGTTGTTGTATACTTTAATTTGTTCCTAGACTTGAATTCTTGCATATCGATATTAGCAATATACATGACCACTTTTATAATCTCATTTCTTATTCTGTTTCAGTTCATCCCGAAGTTCAACGATCGTACATGCGCTTGACTCATTTTCAAGATTGTTCCGATGAATTATGCTCCCTGTATACAATTTTCAGTGTATAAAAAGTATTCATCTCTCACATTGCACTATTTTAAAACAAGCTTCTACCTTTATTCTAGATATCTTTGTTGTTATGAGCAATTTTAACCAATGTATTTTAAAACCTTATATACAGCCACATTTCGAGAATTTTTCCAATCTCCTTGAACCTACGCTTTTTATCCTTAACTATATGCAGAATCCAGTCAATTTGGTTATAGTAAATGAGCTATTTAAAATCAAAGAGAACATTTTAATCCAGGTATTCAGCTTTATTACCATTATTACTGACTTAGATTTCACAGATTATCAAACCTTATGAACGGCTTAATAATTTTCCATAGCATGGCGATATTGAGAGTAAATAATAATGTTTGTTTCACCAGGCTTTACAAATCGATCTTTGAAACTAAAATATAGTGAAGACGAAATCTTAACGATATCTGATCAATTGATATACATGTTTAGAAGCACATCATGTCCTACTCATAATATTGAAGCTTTATTTTTGTGGACGTAAGTGTACCACTGCCAAGTTTTTAATTCAAAACAGTTTGTCTTTAGGAATGTGAATGTTTCATTGGGGTAACATATTGCAATTAATCGATGTCTTATATCTGTGTTCTATTCAGTTTTTACTATTACGAATAGAATCTTGTTCGAGCCGCTCTTTAATCGTCATTGGCTCTTCCTTGACAAGAAGTACTGGATTCTTTTTGGAGTACATACTACAATCAATGCTATCAACATATTTATTCGAAATGTTTCCCTTAGGCTAAGGTTACCCAACAAAATATTATGTGGTGCTATAAAAAAAACCTAGTAGTTTTGGATGAACTTCTGTTACTCAGTATGTAAACGACACAATAACAGTATCCACTACAGTATATTTGTGTTCTCCAACAAGCTGTTAACAACTGAGAAAACAGAACACTCGGAACAATAAACGACATGTCATTAAATGTGGTAGGAACTTCAAGGTATTAAGACGCCAAGTCTAACATTACACATGGTTTAAAAAATTTAAAGCAGCGACTTAAAAATCCATTTTGACTATTGTGGTTGGATCGACGACTGTTACATTATCTGCATGAAACAGCGCGTTAATTTTTTTCTGACATTTAATCACCCTTTCACATATTCAGCCATCATCAACACAACCTAGTGCAGCATAATGTACTTAATACGAAAAGCAGGAAAAACGAGTATAATTCAGTATCTTTGAGAACAACATCAACCAGTAAGCATAGCGTTATCTTTAACGATAAGTACATTTCAATAATTTCTTACATCTTTGTGTACCGAAAAATTAACCTGGGTGACTGATATTTCAACATGCATAACGCTACATCAAGACTTTACCAATAATTTTACAATTTGTGAAGTGTTTCAAGATATTGTGATGATAATGATCAGGTTCTTTTAATCTAACTAAAGTACGTTGGATATTTGAAAGTCATTTTACTAATACTCTGCTCGTGGTTATATGCGTTATTGTCGATCGTTAGTTTTGAACACTCATTAAGGAAGAATGAATGAGAACTACTTCACATATAATAATTAGCTTACTGCACATTTGCGAACAGTTAATTGTCTTTAATAAACATATCTTTCGTTATATCCCAAAGAGTAAAAAACTGTGTTCCTGACGTTTTGTGACTTAATGTAAACTGATACTCGAGATGCGACAAAAAGTATTAAAACACAATTGTATGAACGAAGAATATTCTTTTCAATAATTTCTCATCAGGTTCTACAATTCATAAATCCAAATTAATAATCCATAAAATTGGCCAGATTTAAGACAGAGTACATCATTTGGAAGTTGTAATATGTGAATTAAGAATTGTTGTTTGTTATCAAATCAAATCGTCAATGTTGGGGCTGACTAATATGAAGTAGGTCCTGGGTCCGAGCCTTGCGTGGTGCGGGATCGTGGATGCGCACTGCTGAGGAGTCCCATACCAGGACGAAACGGACGTCCAGTGCTTCCAGGTTTTCAATGGTGGTCTAGCTTCAACTGACTCATGATTTTAACCTGTGATAATATGAAGTTGTTAACTTGAATCAGTTTATAAGTGAAATGAAATTGTGCGATAAACGATCAGAATAAATATGGTCAGCATGGGGTGAGAGAGAAAATAATGGAATAAAAATGGGAGATTACGTAATATGTAGAATAATATAAATGAGGTCAGATAGCGGATTTAGGGGTGGATATTGAATAAATTCTTCAAAAGGTTATCAAATGCAAAGAATGATAATAATAATAACAATAGCAATAATAAGTTCCGGACATAAAATGAACATGAATCAGATTACGTCACCATATTATAAAATTAATAATTAACTAGTTGGCCAGGGTAAAAGGAGTGGCTGAACATCTTTTGGATGAAAAGCTCTGGTTCTTTGATCCGAATAGTAATTGATTCAGCCGTCTGTAGGATTCGCAGTCTGACGGAATCAGGTAGACTGCTGTTAACACGACCGATTATTGCTAAAGATTGCTCCATGTTGGCTGTATGTTCTGCTTGAACTAGATGGTCTAAGATGTAGCTGGTAACAGTTCTGACTACCTCTGCTTAACCACACGGGGAGGTGCTCACGAGCCCGGATGTACAAATTCCCAGAACATCTGCCAATATAACTTGCTCCACAGGAGCATTTGAATTGATAGATACAGGAGGTGGTTAGTCTAGGTAAATTATCTTTCAACCTCGAAGTGATTATTGGTCGTGTGGAGAATATTAGTTGTAGTTTACCCGCATTAAAAGTCCATTGAATTGATCTGCTTAACTTAATTCTTAGCGTTTCACTCGGTGCATCGCCTCTGAATTGTAAGCGTATATACAGAGGCTTTTTATTTACAGTTGGGCATTCTCTATGCTGTCTTTTACTGGCTGTTTTTATTTATAAATTTCTCGGGATATCCATTTTCCTTCATGTTATGTATAATGACTTTGTTTCATATTCAATGGTATCCACAGAGCATATAGTCTTGATTCTATGATGTAGTGTCTTAATAAGGCTCCTTTTGTGTTGTAGAGGGACAAAACTAAGAAAGTTCGTACATTGACTCGTCCAGGTAATTTTCCTGTTTATGTTTCTTTTTAGCGACCCGTCCTTCCTCCTTGTAAGTAGAGCATCTAGAAAGGCCATTCTAACCCCGATTTCCTTTCTCTTATGTGAATTTTATGGACGAGTGAACTGTATTGAAACGCTCGAGTGTTTCTAGGATGTTCGTCCGGTTATTGCAAAGGATAAATGCATCATCCATATATCGGCAGTAGGATGAAAACCTATTGACCTCTTGTGTTAGTGGGTCGTTTTCCAATTTAGAGAGGAGAATGTCTGCCAATACGGGACCCAGGGGTGAACCCATCGCGACACCAGATATTTGTCTGTAGGTCTCACCATTGAATTTGAAATGTACATTCATAGTACATTTTAGTAATAATTTTTTGATGATCTCCACAGGGATTGTTGTTTCCAGTTCCTGTTCTCTAAGTTGTTCACAAATATATTCTACAGTTCCTCTGAGTGGGACAGTTGTGGACAATGATGCTACGTCAAAGGACATCATCGTTTGGTCTTTCGTGTTTATGTTTTTAATATTGCCAACGAATTGTAATACATCCTTAATACTATGTTTCATCAGGCGTTTATGGATTGGTTTCAAAACGGTTAACCACTTTGCTACAATATGATATGGAGAATCGTACATGTCCAAAATTGACCTTAATGGGATATTCGGTTTATGTATCTTCGGCAGCCCGTATAATTTAGGTAAATGCGTACCTATCGGCTTAATTATTTCGTACATGTCTGTTGGAATCATCTGTTGATCTCTCAGCTTTTCCAAAGATCTGGTCAGTTCATTCTCTATCTTATTATTGACATCTATTCAGTTTCTGAAATTTTTGAGGATCATACAGGACGTTATTCATCTTTTTTGTTAAGACAGTTCCTGTTCCTTTATCGGGTTTTGTGATAATCAGATTCTCGTCACTAATAAGATCATTTATGGCCTCTCTGTTTCTTTGAATACTTCTGTAGTTATATCTACTATTCTTAAACTGGTAGCAGCAGTCAACTAGGTTTGATTTGAAACGTTCAAGTTCCTGATCATATGTCGGAACTAGATCTGTCTGACGATTTAGGTTTTCAAACTGGATGTCCGTATCGATTTGATTTACACGGTTTCGTGTATCACAGAGTTTTAGACCAAGTGCTAATACTTCAAGTTTTTCTTTATTTAATTCAGTACCGGAAAAATTATGCACATACTTTCTTGGTTCAGTCGGAAATTTATTTTCAACTGGTTGATTTTCTAGGCTTTTGAGATGTTGGATATGTTTCTTGTTTGAACCTTTTTTTTATTTTTGTGACGTACTCCATAAACTGGGACTTAAGGTCTTCTGTTAATTCATCAACTACAAATCGTCTGCGAGCGATACTTACTTCTATATCTGTCAAGTCATTATTCAATGTGTCAATTTTATTAAGTGCATGGCGTTTTAATGTTTTTCTATTTGGATGAACGTGATTACGGCGTAATGACTTATAGAACAGTTTCGGATAATGAGATGATTCGATACAGTTTTTTATAAATACCAATAATGTTTTCGTTTCTGTGAACTTTGCGTTATACTTCAGGAACTTATTGAGTGCCCTCAACGCAATGGGTTGCTGAAAAATTCCCATTATATTAAAACACAATTGTATGAACGAAGAATATTCTTTTCAATAATTCCTCATCAGGCTCTAAAATTATAAATTCAAATTAATAATCCATAAAATTGGCCAGATTTAAGACAGAGTACATCATTTATCGCACAATTTCATTTCACTTATAAACTGATTCAAGTTAACACTTTATATTAAGCAGCCCCAACATTGACGATATGATTTGATAACAAACAACAATTCTTAATTCACATATTACAACTTCCAAATGATGTACTCTGCCTTAAATCTGGCCAATTTTATGGATTAATTCGAATTTATAATTGTAGAACCTGATGAGAAATTATTGAAAAGAATATTCTTCGTTCATACAATTGTTTTGATATAATGGGAATTTTTCAGCGAACAAAAAGCATATTTATTATTAGCTTTTTGCCTAATGCTCAATTTATTTGGATCAGTTAGATGTTTTCTTCATTTCAGTTTTTATGCCATCCAAATGGATTCAAGTCATTTGGTTTGAACGGGAAGAACGGTCGAGCCAATTCTACAAATACGCTATATACCTGAATCAAATCAAGTAGTTGAATCACATTCACGAGTCGTGATAATAAACATCCGTAGGATATTTTACGAAATAGTCTTCAGGGTGGGTTATATGACTTTTTCCAAATATCGTTGTGCGGTAGATGTATGATATCCTCGAGTTCTTATATCAAAAAGCCGTTTCTCATTTACACATGGTTCCAGTTTAGAAGCAATTTGTCTCACTACAAATATTACTAGAGTGTATTTCTAAGGTTCACCATCCAGGTAATATAAATCCTGGAACAAGAAAGGTTTGAGAAATTGTTAGAGATGAGCTGCTGAGCGAAATAAAAAATGGGATTCGTCTAAGAAAGCGTACGAAATCGAATATTCGCCATTTGCGACTTCAAAACAAGGGAGCATTTGAGTAGGTTAAATGATGGCTGCAAAATCATGCCGCCAGATCATTGAAGCATGTTACGAGATTATTTATTTGAACACAAATATTGGTACAAAAAAGTAGCGAACATATATGTGCCATAAGTCCCTTAATTTGTGTGTGGGCTGTGATAATGTTCGGGTGCCTAAGTCGAAGAAGGGATTTTTTGATTACTCATGGCAAATCAGTATGATACAAAGATACATTATTCACAGTCTTGTATTTCTCACTGCATCTAACCTCATCAGTCTTTTCCTGTTGTACAAGTACTATATAGCAGTTCGTTACGCAGTCATAACATTGGAACTAGTAACAGTAACAGGATTTTGTTAGGTTATTATATATTGTAAGAGGCATCCTTTTTGCTAAAGTCCGTTTAACTAGATCAGAAATTAATTTGTAAGAGCATTATCTTGGAACATTTTATCGACATTTTAAAGAATCTGGAAATGTTCATAATCAAACATTGGATATAAACACACTGGTCATTCAAATGAACTAGATCAACTTGAAACTTTGAGCAATCTAAACGTTCGAATATTTACCAACTACGAAGAAATTCTGACTAATTTCTCAATTATTACAGTACATTTTATTCTCTCATAAGAATTTTCGACTACGTCGAGAGCTTTATGTTGCGTAATAATTCTTCCAGAACATTGATACTCCCATGTTACGGCAACACACTTATTACTACTCATGATGATAAATAGAGAACTTAGATGCTTCGTAATTGTTTGTCGTAGTGTGGATGTGTTTATTGTTTAGTTTCTTCTAAATCTACTTTTAGCTTCTAGGCTTCTTAATTTTATTCGTTTTTGTACTTTACTTTTAAAATTTTGGTCTTTGTAATAAAATATCGACAGCTACTGTTAGTTACTTTGATTTGATGCGTGACAAATGAAACATAGGAACGTTAGTGCGGCGCTCTGGAGTTTTTTTAACCACCTAACCAAACCTGTTGTATGAAACGGGTTTTCGATATTCAGATAAAATATCTTTAGATAGATGTAAAAAGTTTACACTTCAGACGAATTACCAGATCACATCAGTTGAATAGCCAATCTAAATCACTTCTTTTAAAATCTTCGGACGCATATATTGCTAACTGTGAAGAACACAAATAGAGAAATAATACTACTTAAATGAACATAGATTCTAATAACTCGCACTAATGCAATCGCGACAGAAAAATTAGACGTAATGAAGCTCTTAACCTGCAAAGTCTGCAAGTAACCAGTGAAACGATGCTATTAAACCTACATCAATAGGTTGGAATATAAGCATTTGAAACAAACATTTATAATACACGTCACACTTCATTAAAATACTGCATTTCCAGGAAATTGAATATATGTATCACCTACAAATCAGGGCAACAATTTATACTTGTCTACTAGTTGTAAGCATTTACACCTGGATAATTTGCTCAACATTGAGAAAATCTACTTGAGATGCGAATGTTCACTGGGCCAAATTTAAAATCTTTAGATGCGTCCGTATAAGATTAGTGAGATAAGTGATCATCAGCAAATCTTTATAGCTTGAATTGATCAATTGCTCCAAATGATCAGGGTCTAATTTGGGGATTGAGAAAATTAACTGTGCTATAGACCTTCCGATTTTGGGGTCGGCTGGACATTTGTTATCGATAACATTTTCAACGTAACGAATGACCTGATCCAACATAGTGAGCAGATGTTGTGAAAGTTGATACAAATAGACCATGTCATCTCCAAGCTAAAAGTTTCGAATAGATCACAAAATTGTAATCCCGAAATGTCATCTATAACTATTTATGGATAATATAAATAGGCTTTAAAAAAACCGACGTGAACAAGCAACTGTTATTAAACTAACCTTTTACTCGTTTCATGAGAGAGAAAAGTGAATCAAACACAGTCGAAGCGTTTTAACTCTTATCACGTCGAATGTAAAAACACTCATATATCTACGAGTTATACAGAAACACAACTCCGGAGGCATATATCATCAAACAAACTATAGATACTTTTCATATTTTTATTGACTAGAATCGATATTAATCAGTAGGCAATCAGTCAATCATACGCAATATAGGACCTTTATGTGCATTGATTCACATTGCCATACCACAGCGAAGCGAGATGACATTATCAAGATAAATCCCAGAGAACATGATTAATAACAGTCTCAGCAGTAATTGGACGGCTCAGGTAGTAGCGTGCAGTTACCTGACAGACAACACATATTCATACCACCTCAGTCGGTGAAGATTCACTACCTTATCGACCAATTTCCAACCTTTACCAAACACAGCATCTAACCGCCCCATTGCTCACTTGACACTTTCAATATATTTTAGATACTGTGTTAGTCAAACCGACTCCTCGGTGGTTATCACAAGAGCTTTTTCCATATCTTACAAACTGTGACGAGCAGCGATTAACATCCGCCAGAAGGGCTTATGTTCAGTCCCCAGTCAATCCAGTTGCTAAGACTAAACTACTATCCCCAAAGATTTACAGGACTTACTTACTTACGCCTGTTACTCCTAATGGAGCATAGGCCGACGAACAGCATTCTCCAACCCACTCTGTCCTGGGCCTTCTTTTCTAGTTCCATCCAAATCTTGTTCATTTTTCTCATGTCCATTACTATTTCCCTGCGTAATGTGTTCTTTGGTCTTCCTCTCCTCTTTTGGCCTTCAGGATTCCATGTGAGGGCTTGTCTTGTGACGCAGTTGGGTGCTTTCCTCAATGTGTGTCCTATCCACTTCCAGCGCTTCTTCCTGATTTTTTCCTCCGCTGGGATCTGGTTTGTTCTCTCCCACAGTACGTTGTTGCTAATAGTGTCCGGCCAACGGATCTGAAGTATTTTGCGTAGACAACTGTTAATAAACACCTGTATTTTCTGGATGATTGCTTTCGTAGTTCTCCAGGTTTCCGCCCCATACAGTAGAACTGTCTTGACATTTGTATTGAAAATCCTGACCTTGGTGTTGGTTGACAGTTGTTTTGAGTTCCAGATGTTCCTCAGTTGTAAATATGCTGCTCTTGCTTTGCCGATCCGCGCCTTCACATCTGCATCAGATCTACCATGTTCATCAACGATGCCGCCCAGATATGTAAAGGTTTTTACATCTTCCAAATCTTCTCCGTCAATTGTAATTGGATTGGTGCATGCCGTGTTGTATCGGAGAACCTTGTTCTTCCCTTTGTGTATATTGAGACCTACTGCTGCTGCTACACTGGTCGTCTTCTCCTGCATTTGTTGTTGCGTTTGGGATAGAAGGGTCAGATCATCTGCAAAGTCTAGATCGTCTAATTGCATCCTAGATGTCCATTGTATCCCGTGTTGCCCTACAGATTTTGACGTCTTCATGATCCAGTCGACCACCAGAAGAAAGAGAAAGGGTGAGAGTAAGCAACCTTGCCTGACACTGGTCTTTATTTCGAACGACTTTGTCAACTGTCCTCCATGCACGATTTTGCAGTTTAATCCATCATATGAATTCTGTATGGTATTGACTATCTTCTGAGGCACGCCGTTGTGTCGAAGAAGCTTCCATAGTGTTGTTCTGTCCACGCTGTCAAATGCTTTTTCGTAGTCAATGAAGTTGATGTAGAGTGATGAATTCCATTCAATTGATTGTTCCACAATGATCCGTAGAGTTGCGATTTGGTCTGTACATGATCTATCCTTACGTAATCCTGCCTGTTGGTCACGAAGTTGAGCGTCTACGCAGTCCTTCACCCTGTTTAACAATACCCTGTCGAAGTCTTTTTACGGTATTGAGAGAAGAGTGATGTCCCTATAGTTATCAAAGTTGCTGAGATCGCCTTTCTTCGGTATTTCGATCAGAAGTCCTTCTTTCCAGTCTGTTGGTAGTTGTTCCTCATCCCAAATCTTATTGAAGAGAATGTGGAGTATCCTTGCAGTTGCCGCAACGTCTGCTTTTAGTGCCTCTGTTGGAATGTTGCATGATCCTGCTGCTTTACAACTCTTGATTCGCCTGATGGCCATGTTGATTTCTTCAATTGTTGATGGGTCAACAACGATTGGGAGGTCCGTGGGTGCTGCTTCGATGTTGGGTGGGTTCAGTGGGGCTGGTCGATGTAAGAGTTCTTTGAAGTGTTCTACCCACCTGTTTCGTTGTTCTTCAATATTGGTGATTATCTTACCTTCCTTGCTTTTCACTGATCGTTTTGCTTTGCGGCGATTTCCAGAGAGTTTCTTTGTTGTGTCATACAGTTGTCTCATGTTTCCTTCTCTTGCAGCCTTTTCCGCCGTCGTTGCTAAATCTTCCACATATTTACGTTTGTCGGTTCTGACGCTCCTCTTCACTTGTTTGTTTACTTCTGTGTATTCAGCTTGTGCTTTGGCTTTTTCTGCTATTGTTCGGCTGGTATTGATTGCTGCCTTCTTGTTACTCCTTTCTTGAATCTTATCCAGTGTATCAACAGTGATCCATTCCTTGTGATGTTGCTTCGTGTGGCTCAGGACCTCATGGCATGTTGAAGTGATTGCCTCTTTGATCCCCTTCCAGTTGCTCTCCACAGTAGTTCCTTCTCCATTGAGTAGATCATGAAAGGCCTGGAACTTATTGCTGAGGACTATCTTGAATTTGTTGAGTTTGTTAGTATCCTGAAGCAAGGCCGTATTGAACTTTTGTGATATTGTCCGCCCCATTGTCCAGTGCTTCTTGAGTTTCAATTTCATCTTGGCGACCAGCAAGTGATGATCTGATGCTATATCAGCTACTCTCTTGGTTCTCACGTCCTCTATCGTCCTCCTGAACTTTTTGTTGATGCAGATATGGTCGATTTGGTTTTGCGTGGTGTGATCCGGTGAAGTCCATGTGGCTTTGTGTATGCGTTTATGTGGGAATATGGTGCCGTCTATGACCAGTTTATTGAAGGCACATAGGTTCGCAAATCTCTCACCATTTTGGTTCCTTTCTCCCAGTCCGTGTCGTCCCATGATGTCTTCAGATCCAGTGTTGTCTGTTCCAACCTTGGCATTGAAATCTCCCATCAGAATGGTCAGGTCCTTTGTTGGGCACTTCTCGATGATCGACTGAAGCTTATCGTAGAATTGATCTTTAGCGTCTTCATTGTAATCGTTGGTAGGCGCATAGCATTGGATGATGTTCATTGAAATGCCCACTTTTTTTGTTTTGAAAGAGGCTTTGATGATCCTTGGTCCATGAGATTCCCATCCTATAAGTGTTTTTTGCGCTTGTTTGGACAGTATCAATGCAACTCGCTGTGTATGTGGAGCATTTTCTTCTTCATGGCCGGAGTATAACAGAAGCTCCCCTGAAGCTAGCCGTTGTTGTCCAACTTGCGTCCAATGTGTTTCACTGATCCCAAGCACCTCCAGGTTGTATCTTCTCATTTCTGCGGCGATTTGGAAGGCTTTCCCGGTGTCCCACATTGTACGAACATTCCATGTACCTAAATAAATGGTTGCTCTGGTTGTCAGAAGGGGCATCGGCCTCGTAACTTCCGAAGGAATTCGGCTTTCATCATGAGGCGTCAGAGTTTTTCTAAATGAAGACCTTCTGACTCCCGGGGCAGAGTTTAAAAGGTTTGAATAATTTTTTCTGGTTAGCATTTTTTTAGCGAGCTAGTTTTCTACGGGATGGGGACGCTAACCCCATGCCCAACCCTCCTCCTTTATCCGGGCTTGGGACCGGCAGTAGCCCCCGGAGGGACTCCAGGATTATTCCACCCATGCCTGTTGCTTGTCTTTGCTTTAGGTTACTTGTAGCCTGGGCAACATCACTAAGATTTAGAGGACTTACATCAATAGCTCATTTAGGTCCTTTGAATAAAATGGCTTAGTGAAAGCCGACTGAACTGTTCCTCAAATTGTTCTATTCACTGGTCTAATTTCCTGTAATTTAAGTAGATAACAATCCCTCTTTCCATTGAAATAGTTTCATTAACGGCCGGATTTTCGTACCCGTATTTTTGATAAATCTGAATAGTCTACCGTTCACCACTGCGGACTCCTGCCCTATCTCTTTCTTTCAGTACTCAATACCTCACGATCATTGCGTCTTTAACAGTATTTTTAAGCTGCCTCTACTTGGCGTGGAGTTTTGGGACATTTATCAGTCTTGTGGATGCTACAGAAAGCAGCTGACGTTTCTTAACGTTTTTGGTTCAAGTTGCCGGTAGATTTTACAGCCGTTTCGGGGCTGAGTGCTTCTCTTGTTGTTTTTGGAATAGATTTCTGACTTCTTCGTCATTAAGCTGAACACAAAGGAATCTTCTTGTTGCGGCTTTATTTTGTCTAGTAAGACCCCGCAAACAGGTGCTTGCATAAGAGTAACCAGAGTTTAAACATGTGCCACAGAATGAGCGGTAGTCTTCCACGGGGCTCCTCCAACGATGGCTAAAGGGACTGTGATCTATTTGCGTTCAACGTCTAAGTCCATTGTGTGGGTGACCATGAAGGACATCGTCTTTCCTTACACTTAAATTAGGTGTTTGCTAGAAATAAACGACTATCTGAATACATTTCCAGTACCTGGTCACCATGATCTGTTCGCTGAGCCAAAACTCCGTGAGACCCATTTAAATGCCTTACAGTTTGAGTTTGAATTACTTACTTGGGCAGTAAAATCATACATTATTACGTCTAAAATGTTGGGATTTTTAAGAAAGATGAAAGGCTTTCTACAAAATCCATCAGTGAGAACGTAAGTAGAATCATCGAAGTGCGTACAACGTGTTTTCGTCTTCTCGAGTTCTTATTATCCCATCTCCTAAACAGTGTGTAGGGCTACTGGAAGTCGACCATCAGCCACCTAATCCCAGGTTTGAACCCCGTTGTACCTACTTTGGTTTGGAGAGCTGAGTGGCATCACATTAAACCGCAACACTGGTGGTGTGGCTGACATCGAAGTATCTGATTTTTTCTTGCTGTTCCATTCAGCCAGACAGTGCACAAGTGACTGTCTATTGAAATTCAATTCAGGTGAGCCTGTTTTACTTTGAACTTAGTGCTATACCCAATTCAGCAAAGCCACAGAAAGTAACAATCACGTCCCAGGATATACTCTGGTTCTCCATTTTGATGAGGTGATGTACAGTAAATGACCATAGTTGGGTTCCACATCCGTGTTTTGAAAGCATAGCACAAATCGATAGCATGAGACTTAACAGTCCCTTCTAAGGAAGCCTGCTGTTCGGTTTGACATTGAAAGCTATAACATACAGATTAAAGGAAGGTTCCAAATCAAGAACATTTCGTAAACTTGAATTGTTAGCGTTAGTAGTGCAGATAGGAGAAAAATTAAAGTTACGAAGGGATTCGACCGATGAAAAGTTGGTCTCTGTTGTTGTTAGAGATACGAGAGTGGTTGTCACTTCCGGGTTGCTAAAAGCTAGTATAAAAAACCGTACTAAGACGAAATTTACCAGAACTATGTTATAAGTCAGCACGATATTTTTTGAATAATCTGATCACGTATTTGCTTCCCAAGACCTTCATAAATAAAAAGCAAGCATAACTAAGGAAAACGAAATGGATCACAGCATCGACTTGTAGATTACTACTATAACGGCAGGCTAGAAATGAGCATAAACTGTCTCTGAGCACATTACGGAAGGATAAATCGTACGTCTGAAGCTACTATGAATTCTAGTATTCGCCCCTGGCCACTGTCACACAACACTACAAACGTTGACATGCTATCCAACCCGTGCCCCGTCTAATAAGATTAAGTAATAAACAATTGTCCTACTCCATTGCCAAGCATTTAGTTGAAACGGGCCATAGGGTTTACATCGAATCAGTGTTTATAGTGTTATGTGAAAGTGGCCAACGGGTAAAACTAAGGCTTACTGATTGTTCAAAATATATTGCGCCCATATATTACGTGATTCTGATAAGCTTCGTCATCTTATTGCGTTACATAAATTGATTAGAACTTTCAAATATTAACTTGACTCAAAAATCAAACACAGGTGTATATTGCTAACTGTCAGTTATGCTGCACACCACCGAAATAGTTGAAAGTCGAGTGTTAATATATGGGTTTGTAAGGTCTTAGTTCCACAGGTATGAAATATGACTATTTAAGACAAGTCTCACCCTACATACTGTTGGTATCGCACAAAAGAAAAGTAAAACTCAGACAATTAAGAATCCCATCGAACTTTAAAATACATCTCTTCAACTCAGCTCCATCTGTGATATCATTATTCTGTTGGACTACTACGAAAAAATGTGATATAACCTAGTGAAACAATGTATTGATGTATACTGCTACTTTCGAACAACACAGAAAGGTATAAGCCAGCAAAATTACATTTGTAGGAGCAAATTAAAAGGAAATGATCTTACAGGATGTTTATGGTTGAGATACTTTCGCCATAGTGGATTTCGAGCAGTTGTTGGCAATCATTACCGTGTTGTGTGTAAACAATTCACTACAGTTGACCTGTTTAATTGGTGTCATGATTTCGTCTAATCCTCATAATATTTCTTCAATCTATCTGCACATTGACAGTAGCACACCTTGCTGTGGGAATTTACTCATTACGTGAAAGACTGAGATATTAATGAGTTAAATGCAAAGTCACAACTAGTACTTTGATATTCCATAACTCCCTGTTAGGTGTGGATTGGTGTCCACGGCACTTGACTCACCTACCAAGATTGCCAGTTCGAACCCTACATGATGTGCTTCGGTTTGGTGAAGAAAAAGTAGCATTAATTGGAGCATATGAATTTATACGTTAAATTACTTTTTATCCGACTGATCTTAACGTTGCTTAGTCGACGGTCTCATCACAATTATTATTTCGACGTTACTTGTAGTTAAATATGACAAATCATATGTATCAACCGAAAAGTAACGGCTGGGGTTCATATTTTCAAGATCAACAAGAACAAGTCGTTCATTCTTATCGAATGAATTTTTAAAGCCTGACCAATGCTTTGACAACAGCTTGAGAAATGCCAAATTTAACTAGAGGGAATGAACCAATTGAACCTGTTTACTAATCTGTATTTTTAGATATCTCCATAAGTTCTTCCCAAAAGATTTCCTTCGAAATAGAATTTTGTAGTTTACTAACTTGCCCAACTCCTCAGTGAGGACTCAGCTGAATTTGAAAAGCGGAACATTAGTGCAGTGGCAGACTTCGAGTTGCGTTATAGGAAAGCAGTTTTATGGTGAACGTAATGAAATCTAACCGATATTTGAGAAACTCTTAGTGGTATGTCAGGTATTTCTAGATTATCCAGCAATCGTCTATCATATTGGAGACCTGCAGAAAAAGTTCTTTAGTCACAACCAACACATTTAGCAAGATTGACACCCATCTGCTAACAAACAAGTAGGCATTTTTAAATGCGATGTCTCATTTTAGCAACTGTAAATTTTCTAGAAGTGGGTTGTCAAGTGAAAGGGTATTTACAAGCTGCCAAAAAATGTCATTCTGCCGTTCTACACCATGAAAATTGAGTCATCACAATGTGCTTCATATTTGAGTGTTACAAATCTAGTTAGTCAGAACCCTCTATAAATGAATGACAACCTTGATAATGAACTGTGGTCCTACATTTAGTTACTAAAACGATGTTGAAAATGAGAACCAACAGAAACATTGTGACGTTAGAAATCTGTCTTAAAGCTAGACTAGTAAAAATTTCCGCGAAAAATATTATTAGACAGTTGGCGATTGAGGCTATAATCCAATGAATTATCAGCTTACTTCAGGTTCTAATTTACTCCTTGGATCAATAGAAGAAACCATCATTTCAACGGCACAACGTTCTGCACCGTAGCACTCGACTTCTACTTCTACTGGTACAAAAATAAATCCTTGTGTTCCTCCAGGAATACCCATCTTCCTGCAAAGATAAGCTTTTATGGCCATTTTGTCCCCGATAGTCATATTTGTGTCTACCATTAAAAAGATTGCATTTTTTGACTTCTGCATGTAAACATCTTGATGGATAAGTTTGAGGGTCTCCGGAATTTCATTCCCCGTTGCATACCACCCAACAATGTTATGAGAGGGGTTCACCTAAATACTTAATTATCTAGCAGCGATCATTTACTTTGCGCTCGAGAACAGTCATGTTGTTTTTGAATTCTATGTCCATAGACACATCGACCGCAGATTCTTGATGCAGAACACTGTAGCAATGAGTAACTTCGATGATCCCTTTTCCCCAAGTCCCTGTGGTACTCATGAAAACAATGTCATCATACCAAGAAGAGTGCCAATAACCCTCTCTGATCCTTCCGCACGTCTTTCATATGCATCGACAATTGATGCTAACACCACAGGATGAACGTGAACTGCCGAACCTGACTCCATTCACGTTTAGCACGTTTCGTAATGTGCGCCCTAGCTATAGGTTGGTCCTCAATCTTCAATTCTGTATCTTCAGTTAGTCTTCTGTAATAAGGATAGAAGGTTAATCCTCACAACTGTAGAGATCAAATCATGTCTTGAATGTACCAGAAGAGGGTGGTGATGTTTTGTGTTCTGATCGAGAATCCTAGTTCAAATGGCTCAAATGGTTGCGGATGGAATAGAAGAAGCTTTCGCTAAACGGGCTTCCGTGTTTAGTAGCAGTGGATCATCACTACCTCCATGCAGGAACCTAGGTATATTAACGATAACAGAGAAAAAAGAAGTTGGTAAATCATAGAAAGATATTATCCTCTTGGAGGACTCCTGAGAAGTCACTTGGACTAGCTCGGCCGGTAGCGAATTACAAAATTTTACAATGCTTAAGGGGTAGGTGTGTCTACATTTCGTTCTGCTGTTTTGTGTCTTCAGTTTCTGGTTCTTACTTATAAGTTTTGTGGTGGGACTAAGCTAAAGCACGTGTTTAAGGCGATGACAGAAGTATTTAGAATGGTGTAAGCCATTAGAATGTCACCACCAAGACGCCAGTACTCTAGTAGGTAAAGCTTCAGTGATTGGAGGCTCTCCTCATAAGACTTAAGTTTGAGTCCACGAACTAATTTCGTGGCTCACCGTTGGATACGTTCCAGAGTGAGGGAGAAAATACCATGTTCTGTACTCTAAATGGGGACGAATACAACCGTTGAACATTATGTGGAAAGTTCAATCAAACGGCACTTCTGTCGCAGGGTTCCGACACTCCTAGGTCCTTTTCAACCTGAGATACCTCTGTTCGGGAGTTAGCTAAGTTGTCGCTGTAATCTGCAACATGTCTCAGATGGACTACTTGACACTTTGAAGTCTTAAAGGTAAGAAAATATGTGTATGGGACTATTTATATCAATGATGATCAAGAAAAAGTCTCATTCAAAATATTTTTATAGATGTTTAGAATCCTTCGATTTCATATAGTGTTGAAGTACTGGCAAATGGGTAATGAATTGAGGGACAATATTGGCCGAGATCAGTTTAGAAACGAATGACTAGTGTGTTTTTGACTCTATAGGATAGTTAGCATAGATTTATTTTGCAACTTAGTTGTTATTCGCACTTCTACCATTATTTCCCAGAATTTGTACGATTGTCATTGTTGCTCAGGGCCAATGAAATGTCACTTAGCCCTAGCCATGTCACCCTGGAGTCAAGTCATTGAATATCTAAGTCCACCGATCTTCGTCATTGTCAACTATAGCCAACGCGCATCAATTAAGTATGAGCACGGACTGGCATGTGCAGCTGTGGTCGCACTCGCTCCCTTGTACCCACTATAACTAATATATTTCTGTAATTACGCCACCCGTCTTGTACGATCATTAAAGCGGCCATAGTACCTGGATATGATGAAAGGGTAATCCATGTCGGGTACTAACCATGAGGTATGACTTCGACGTTAGCTGATTGGTCACGCTACCCGCACCTAACTTCAGTATGCCTCCGAATCATTCGATACAGATCATCTGTGCTGGTGATCTTCAGTTGATCGTCAGTGTTTTGTTTACAGGGAACATGACCTTTGACCTTCTATTCCAGTTTTGGTCCTCTTTTATATGACCTATTGATTATCGCTGACAATTTTACTGCTGCACGCATATGCTTTTTGTTCTCAATCATCCTTTTTTCGAAAACAGAATTCTGTTATATTCGCTGCCTGTGTTTACTGATCGTATGGATATTCTCACTACTTGATTAGTAGGGATACACATCTCGGATTATAGCAAATAAAGTTTGAATTACCAACTACTTGTGCAAGACCAAAAGAAACTTGAACAAGCCTACTCCTGACAGTCTAAGTAGCGTCCAGCATATTTTTCTTTCATGTGTGATTTATTTTTTGTATATTGACGCACTAACATTTCTTGTGATAACTTTGGCATCATTTTTGACATGAACATATTTTCGTTCAACACAACTCTTGCGAGACTTTGGTTGTCGGTGGCCTTAGAATTAAGTGAATAAACCTATAATGAATGTGAAATCGAGCTACCGGTTGTGTCTTTTCTACGAGTCGTTGTTGATATTTAACATGGTCGTTTTAATTTTGAATTCTTATTTGATTTATTCGCATAATGATAGAACATAGACTGCTATTGTAGATGCTTAAAGATCCCGATTTTGATAAGTTCAGCATTCAAAATAAAGAGAATTAAAGGTTACTTCGAATACATTTCGGTGATATCTCTTTACCAATGGGTAGATGATTATTTTACTTCAGGTTTTTGAATAAAGGTTGACCGCTCTTTGAAACAAAAAACAGAACCTTCGAAGAAAAGGATGATTATGATCTCATGACTTTAATAGGCTGCGTTGTACGATACTTTTAACATGTTCATATTAATTTGTACCAAATTCCAAATGCATAGTTTTTTAAATGGTCAGTGAAGCCGTTGCATTTCCTGATAACAATCGTGTCGATGCTAGTCAGAGAATATTGTATATTTGAAAACATTGTTATGACATTCAACGATACTGAAATAAATTATTTTTCTGGTCAATGATTTACACTTTGAGTCTCAACTGAGTACAGTGAAATGGTTCAAGTTGATTAGATGCTCTGTATACGATATCTGTCAGCGAAGTGAACAAAACGACATGGTTGAACCTCGGTTGCTCCTCTTAAATTCCGTTCTTTCAATCCCTACAACCGAAACTGATCCATGACCGTACACCGTCATTCCTTAGTTTCGGTTGACAGATGGTGTTATTCTGACGTTTTCTTTGTTGATGATTATTTTAGTTTCATTTTATATATATACTGAGTCGTCAGCTTATGTTTCTCTTGCCCTATTTGCCCACGGAACGTTGCACACATAGCTCTTAAAAGGTTTTCAACCCAGCATATTTCCGGTCAAGACGCAAACACAATAATGGCTAAATGTAAGTAAGCGAAACTTCGTTGCTGGCAAAATTAGGGCAAATTTATGTCAGAAGCACATCATATTTATATCAGTGTTGGGGTTTGTTGGGTTTGTAGTAGTTTGATGTTTGAACTCATGAACCGATTTAAGCTAGACCGTTTAGACTTTTTAATTCGTTGGTGAAATTGTTCGTATATCTGGTTGTACAATATTTATTGGGCGTTCATTGTCAGGTGTTGTTTGTCAGTAAACAGATAGATCGCGTCCAGATCAGCTATTCACTTCATCTCGGCAGCCTGTATCAGACATTTCAGTCTTCTAAAATCTGATGAATTGTTCAACAAACCATTTCTTAGGAACCAACTGACAATGTTACTGTGCAAATTTTGAAAGGCTTGCACATAATGTGTCAACCTGGACCATACGTTTGTAACTTACTTAGTGTGTCAATCTTTTACTGAGTTCTCCTTGCTACATGTCACTTGAGTGGCCTTGTAGTGGCATTGGACCATGACCACACAATCCTCAAAGCTGAACACGAAACTACTCGGAAAATAGATATTCAATATTTAACGCGGAGAAACACCTAACGATGGAGAAGGCGGAAACCATGAATTGAATTAATTCGAGTTGATCTGATGGCATGGTTCGGCCATGCAGGCGTGGTCTCTGCTGAATGTTACCTTATATATTTTATTCATATTAAATATATTGTTCCTTCTCTAGCCTAAGCTTGTTCGCCATCATGTATTGGTAATTGTCACGATGCAATGAGTTGGTGTAGACGATGATGTGACTTCCACGTAAGATCTTATAGATTAGGCAGTAATATCATGATGAATCTACAATTTTAGGACTAGGTCTATTATTGGAGCAGTACTCATACACATAATAGACTATATTTCTACAGCCTCACAAAACCCCAGATTCGACCAATACGGATGACTATCTAATGAAAGCTAAAAATGAGTCTCTCCAAATATACATATCTGGCTAATGTTTAAACTATATCTCCTTATCATCATTGTTAATGTCTTTAGTTTTTCTTGATTTCAACAGCGTAATCTTGACGGGTTCGTATGAGTTAGTGCTACCTGCCGTGGGAACGTCAAATATGCTAACCGGTAGTGGATGTTCGATATGAGTTAAAAATACAGATAGTACAGCAAACGATAGGAAGTGGCTAGTCGTTAGTTAGTTAGATAAGGATACAAAAGCAGCATGAGTACTGGGATGGTATGTAGTACGAGTAGAGTAAGGTCAATACCGTTGTTCCAGGCCATACGATTATTGGAGTTGCCAAATTCGCTTGTGAATCGAAGTGTGAAGCTACAACATCGTCGGTGATAAGCTGGAACCAACTATTTTTGCGTGTAGACTAACTCAGAGTATCGTCGACCAAAATAACTGGTGTTTTGTGCTAGAAGGCAGGATTTTCTCCCATAATATAATATATCTAGGTACTTATTGTTTCGGGTATTTTTAGGGGTGAATATCTTATTAGCTATAAATGGAAAAACAATCTTACTAACAGATCGATATGTTTGGGGTAAAACTGCGTAGTGTAAGTAGTTTTACCTATACAAATTGACTAATGCACAATGTCTATTTCAATTATGTGAACATTCAGCTTGGAGCATTATTTTGGTAGGATTCGTTGTTATTCCACTGACTCTACATTTTTGCGTTCATTTCACCGACTTGTTTTAAGAATTCGTCTACCTGTGCATGTAATAGCATCTCGATGAATTCACAAATCTTGAGGATGGGAGCAAATTCTACAACCTTACGCCGTAGAGTCGGAACGTGGAGACAACTAATTGTTGTCTGATAATGCATACATTCCGTTATTTTGGCATTTGTACAATGTTTTCGGTTGGATAAGAAGGCAGGGTAGGAGTAACGCATGTTGAGAGCATACTCTATTTAGTTCTTGTTGTGTTGCAGTTATTGTCATACCCAGTTTGTTCATTACGCTTGTTTTTTGTTCATTTTCGGTGTTATTACTGAACATTGAAAATTTGGCATCCAGTAGAATTATGTTTGTGA